TTCTCGCGCTTTTCCAGTTTTTTTCGCTCTTCTCGTTCGGCACTTGTTATGCGATGCAAAGTTGTATGACCAAGTTGTTCGTGCCAGACATTAGCAAAAACAACACTCTTTAGGGACGATTGAAACAGTAGCAATACGGCTGCAAAATCCGATGCGCGGCGGGCATTCATTACAGCAGAATTCCAAACTTTTTTGTTAACCACCCAGTTTGTGTTTAAAAATGGAGCTGCAATATTGGATTCGAAGTTAATCAACGTCTGTCTAAGCGTTGTAATCATATTTTCGGTAGTTCCCATGGTAATCCCAATCCATTTAAAATCGGAAGCAGTCGTTAACGAAAACTTGTGGGACAAATGACGGCGCTTATCCCGCTCCTCGTTCCGTTGCGGCTTGTTGAGGGCAATTGGGTTTGTTGAATACTGGTTAACATAATTTTTGAATCCTTGCTCCATACCAAGTTTAAAATGAAGCGTACCAGTACTCAACTGATTCGATTTCTGACGAGTTACCATTTTGCTTTCTTCCTGTTTTTTTGATCCCTCTATCGAATGGGTTTCGGTTTTGGCTTCACCATCTTCAGCATCCTCAACCATTTCCTTTTTTTCAAATAATTCATTTGTAGCCTCTTGTTCTATTTCGATTAAACTTCGCTTAGTGTGTTTGTGCTCGTTGGTTAAAGACTCAGTAAGTTTCATTTGGCGTTCGATTTCGCCTTGTCGTTCTGTTAAATTGCTATGCAGCCGAGTTTCCAATTCTTCGGAATCCAATCGGCTTACTAGCAATTTTAGCTTACTTATCGTACTATAATACCAGCAAGTGCAATCTGCCTGATCCTCGATAAAAATACGGCGTGCAATAAACCAATATTTGCGCCCATGACGATCAACACCCAGGCTATCATGCCGGATAAGCACGCCCTGTTTTTCCTGGGGCAGGACGCAGTCCATTACGCCACTTACCTTATGTGATCGACAAAGCCCGCACTGCCAATCCTCAGTAGGTACGTCATTCATTGGAGGGTCCACACATTCCAAATGATAGACGGCAGGGCACGTTTCGCAGCATAATAAATCACCAAGTCGGTGGCACACTCGGCAATGGTCGTCATAATGAATGGGCCCTTCCTGGAGCATTACATCGCGTATGGAATTGGCCGTTAAATATTGATCTGTCAAGAACTGGAGCACTTCAAGACGGCTTTCTATGCCCGTATAGGGGTACTCAGTTCGGCTTAAAATATGGAACACGTTGCGATCAAATGTCTTGTCACTTTCAACATAGCTGCGTAAAACTTCCGGCCACGTTAAAGCATCAATCAGGTAAAGACTTATATTAACAGTATCCTTTTGATCTAAGGGGCCAAAATGTGTACCCTGAGCATCCTCTTCGCGTAAGATCGCCTTTAGCAGCATAACATGTACGTCTGCCAATAACGCACTTTGCTCCTCACAAGCTAAGGCTGCGCAAAAGTCTTCAAATCGGAATGGCGAGAGGCGGACTAAGTGGCGAAAACGTCGTAGTACTTCATAAATACTAAGTGCACGCAAAACGTAGACGTTGGCTATAGATAGATCCTCCGACGAATCGGGCAGTTCAAGCGCTGCATATTGCCGACCTTCCTGCAGCCATACAGGTTCTGGGCTAGGCGGACGAAGAGGACGACTAACTCCATTTTGGTTGAAGCTACATACGGAGAATTCAGATTCGCTCTCATTGGCCGCTTCCAGGCTCTCGTCATCACTGGGTGTAAGTAGCATGTCATCCTCATTGTCTGATTTGTCTTCTTCAGACTCTCCAAAATCAGATCCGTAGTGATATTCTGACTCATACCCTATAATATAAGACAAGTAGATATATTAAAAAAAAATATTTTTACCTTTTATTATTCAAGGAAATGCCTAATATATAACCTGTCATTTTGTTAAGCTACTTTGGTGGGGCTCAGGTGCTTTTGTTATGAATCGGGCGATAGTTAACGTTACAATGTGGTCGGCGTGTGCCAGTAAAATATGAAGTCACGAATACTTGCCATTTGTACTTTCAAAACTAGTATACCATCAAAATATCTTAATTTTATCGATATTAACAAATTAAAAGAGTTTAACTATACTATTGACAGTTACTTACCCCTAGTTAGTGATCATCAAACAAACCAAATAAATTGATCAATATCAATGCAGGCTTTTTTTAAACCGATAGAGTTACTGTAAATTCGGCAGGTTCGTTTGTATGTTTTCTCTTAATTACCTTATATTTGCGCCAAGGTTAATGGTTTTAAAATACTTTTCAAAATCTTTCTTTTATATTTCAGGCACGCGCCAATTTGGGAGGCAACATTCATAGTTAGTTCAAATCTGTGTCATTGTATTAATCTTGGTATCATAAAATATCTACTAACAATTATAAGGTATAACCAATGTTAGTGTTTTAAGTTACACATTAGAAAATCTACACCATAAAATGATGTATCTTTGGAAGATGAGCAAGTAATGTAAACCTGATTATACTAACAAATATTTTGGAAGTAATCCGTCACGCCGCCTTCGCGGTTTAAAAAAATCTAATTTTTTTTATATTCTTAAATTCCAAAACATTTTTAGAATATGGTGTCAATTTTTTTCAAGTTGATCCGAGTGATAGTTTTGGAGATACATTTTTTCGCCTATAAACTAGTTTTTGATATATTTATTTTTACTTCTGATACTTCTTGCAAAAAGTTCTGCTGCCAATCCTTTTTTTCAAGGGACTGCCGGAAATGTCGGCCTCATAGCAAAGTTTTGCCTTTTTTTAAATTTCACAAAAGCTTAGTTGAATATGAATTTTTAAAATATTTTATATGAAAACATTATTACAAATAATAGCCATGTAGCCATGTAACCCCTTGAAGCATACACAGTTCTAAAACTGTTCGAATACATTTTGGCCGTCGATGTAACTGACAACTACACAAACAGACCAATTAAAAAAAAAAAACAATCAACAATCTGTTAGAATGTATCTTATATCCAATTATATTATTACAACTAATAGTGATTTGATTATCAGTCGATATTTTTCTACAAAACAACAAATATTCCAACATTATAATTAAAATATATAAATATGATTTACAAGCTGTAGAACAAAGCCGCTTGATCCAAACCATTACTTGTGAAACCAACGTGATTCGGCTTTTTTAAGGAAGCTAATAAATCGCGTAGGAAGTACCGAATGGCCTGGACACTTTGAGCCTGGATGTTGATATATACAGCTCTAGAAGCCCCTGACAAACCCCTAGTGGTGGGGTAGTCCAAGTCTGTAGCCTAACGATACCCACCTTTCCTTCCAGCGAAGCTGCTGGTGTTGGGCTGCACGGTAGACTTGCGACCGCGTCCCCTCTTGGCGGCGCTCCCGCGATTTCCGCGGTTGTGGTTGTTGTGACTGCTCCTGCTGCCCTCGTCGCTCTGGGGAGAGATACCCCTGGAGGCAGATGGCGTGCTGGGCTGCGACTTGCCCTCGCTGAGATACTTGGGCTTCTTGAGCAGCTGGTAGTTGAAGCGCCCTGTGGCCCGCTCGTTGGGCGTCTTTGGCGGCCGACCACGTTTACGGCTGCCGCGTCCGCTCATTTTTTCTGTTCTTCCTTGTCTCTGTTGCTTTATCTGGCCTCTGGGCTTGGGTGAGTCTGTGGGTGCTCAGATTTGGTTTAGATCGGAACCGCACAGTAAATCTGAAACGAGAGTTGGAGCATTTAGCACAAGTTGCCACCGCAGACCAATTCGCTTTTCATCTAAAAACACATTCAAACACACATTTACTCGACGGCCTATGCGGAAAAAAATCGATCAGCCTCCCAGCAGCTAATTGCATGCACTTCACTTTGTTCGAATCGGGCAAACTTGGCACACGAAAACCCGCCAAAACAGCTTGTTTCGCTTAGCATAAATATGTAGTTCCGATTAAATATAGTAGGTGTACGCATGTACGTATATTCAAAACATTCCGAGCTTCTAATATTCGATGGCAAACGCACTGGACAGCACCGAGAGTTCGCGCGTGTGTGTGTGTGCGAGGAAATGAAGCCAACGCACATTGTCCGCCATTTAAAGAACGGAAAAAATATTCGCGACTGCAAAAATGCCACTTCTCTCAGAATCAACGCTTCTTGTCGATGTACAAATTACCCAGCATGTTGGTGAACAATTGCAGAGGGTTTAACACAATATTTTTAAGTATTTTAAACTGTCTTCATCAAACTGCGAGAGCCACTTTTACCTAACATTTCAGTTCTGAACACAACTGGAGACGGTGTACAGTCGGCCAATCACAGCGACCCTTCTATTTCTCGGTGCTGCGAGCGACACCTTGCGTTCGGTTTTGGTACCGGATTGCCTACGGTTGCACGAACGATATTGACACGGTTGCTTTCGATATTTACCCCTAACCGCAAAATTGGATGCCTTTTGAATTTGAGCGCCAGATTTTGGGACAAACCTTTAAAATCTTGTTTTTAAACAAGCAAATGTAGCGTTTTATCTAAACAAAAAAATAACTATAGCTTAAGTAATGAATTATCGTTTCTTTTAGCTATGCCTTGAAAGTATACTTTTGATAATAAGTTGGACAAAATAAAATTCCATTGCCACGCTTCGACTGAAAAAGCTTTTAAAAATTTAAAATTAAAAACACAATAAACATTCCTTTTTTAAGCAACAAAATTTTTTTTTTTGTTTATTTCAGTGGTTTACCATAAATTGATGAATTTAAAAAAAAGGTTTATTAAGAATTGGACAAAGTAATAAACAAAGTATTTTAGGTAAATTCGGTACTCAGGCTTTAAATTGATGAATTTAAAAAAAAGGGTTATTAAAAATTGGACAAAGTAAAAAACAGAGTATTTAAAAAATAGTTTAAAAACTTACCAGTAAACTTCTGATTTTGTAGCCCTGTACACATTGTTATCTTATCACCTGCACAACCCGATTCTTCGGTGGAATACCGACTGTTTATTCGCTAGTATTACTTTATAATTCAACCTCAGTGGTTGCATTCCATATAGTTACCAGAAAAGTTTTATTATTCCACATGTGCGTAAACTTTAATTTACATGACAGGCTTATTTGGCCATGAAAAAGTTATCTTTTAATTTTAATAGAAAGTCATCAAAAATTTATACCGTCATATTATTATTATAAGTGTATCTTTAAATATGAGTTTTCTAATATAATTCGATGAGTTTTAATCATTTCTAAAGAATGTGGTTCCAGCTAACTTGCACGGCATTCTGACGTCATATGTTTTATTAAGATAACATAAAAATAGGAAGGAATAACACTCATTCTTTTGGTTTCTTAAAGATAAGATAAATGCATATTTCTTTTTTTTAACAATAAATGAACGTAAAAAGCTTTTGTTTACTTTTGTTTTTGTCCTCGGACTTGAAACCGCAAAGTTACTATTTCCAAACTAAAAAGTTTATAATTTTCATGTATATCATTCCAGATTGATATAAAAGGGTAATCAAAATGAATTTAGGTTTTTGGAAAATCGTCCTGGCTTTGATCAGTTTAAAAGCGTACTCCAAAGCATTGGCACAGAAGACCGATATGCACAACCATTTTAAGGATTCACAAAATTCAAGGTAAGAAATTATCTTTCTTTAAAATAAAAATACTTGATATGTTTTTTTTTCATATTCTTAAATATTCTATCAGTATTATTCATAAAGACATATTAGAAGTAACTTCTACTGTCGTATGGGACGCAATATCATTATCATCTGTTGTGGACGAAAGCTATTCAACTGAAACTACAATCGGTAGTAAGCATTCATCCCTTGCACCGCTTCAAAGTCCTAAAGAAAAACCATCAGCCCCGTCAGATTGTTCTCAGCGTGAAAAATTCAGAAAACAACCTATAGCAAAAGAATCTTCACGTTTGCGAAAATGCTGTCCACATGGCGAAAATTTAGATATTTATCGCGAAAATCAAAGTGATTCTATGTGTGACAACGGCATTATAAATTTTAGACCAACTATTATAAGTGCAGTTCTGTTTGATAACTGCATTGAAGATTTGGAAATACAGACTTCTCTAGACATTGACATCGGCAATCCTTGTAACAGGTATTCAATAACTGAATGTAGTGTAATTAGCAAAGTAAAAATTCTTCAAGTTTAGCTCCCTTCAATATGACGATCAGGAGGACGTATTTTTTGTTTTGCAAGACGGTTCCTTGTTAATTATTGACAAGTTTGGCAATGAGTCTTACACAGTTGAAGAAAACTATTGCTTGGATGTTGATAAGTCAGGGCATTTTTTTGCGTTCACGTGTGTCACACAAGTTGAAGAACAAATTGCTTTCGCAAAAGTAAGTATTGATTACCCAGACTACTCTTTTTACAAAAAACTAATTTATGAAAACTCATTCCAGGTTGTTTTTGTTGCCGTTTTAATGCTTATATCTATGCCTTGTCTTCTACTAGTTAGCTACTTACACATGACCCTTCGCTCACTGCGTAACTTGCACGGTCTCTCCCTAAGTTTGATGTCAATGTGTTTGGCTTCTGGATACTTTGTGCACTCCGTCGTACACATATATGGAATTCCCAACCAAGGATTTATTGGATACGTTATACAGTTTTTTATTTTAAGCTACTTTTTCTGGTACTTTTGCATATGCTTTAATGTTCTTTTAAATGTGTGGTACAAGTTGCCCTGCTGCATTCAGCTTTCAAAGTCCTGGGTAACGTTTAATTTTGCATGTTACACTGGTTTAGCTTTTTCCGGACCGGCTACAATAGTTGCGCTAACAGTTCAAAAGGGATTACCAGGAATGCCGTCTTACTTTCTCCAAGGCAAGGTTACCTTTATCTTTACCTTAATAATTTAAGTTATTAACTAAATAATATTTTTTATTTAAAGGTCTCACGGAATCAATAAGAGACTCGCAACGCTACTTTATACCACCAGTTTCCACGGTCCTTTTTCTTAGTTTTTTGGTAAGCTAATTCAGCCAAACTACATCTCATGTATTTCACTCGCCGTACATCTTCAGCTAAACATCATATCATTCTTTGGATTTCAACGTATAAATAGATACGAAAAAGCTGAAAAGATGGGTCAAGTTCATCAAAATTTATTGTTTGATCAACAGAAATACGAAGATGTAAAAAAGGAGTGAGTGTAGATTTTATTTCATTCACACTTTGATAATGATTAGCTATTCACTTTTTCCAGCGCCAAATGTGTCAGCTTACTTGGAATAATTATGGTCATAAGCTGGCTACTCGAAATAGTCACATTTTACTCAGGATCGAATTCTAATTACCTATTACTTTGCGACATGGCGAATGGGCTTCAAGGCGTTTGGGTGTTGCTTATATTTCTTGTTGTAAGGAGACGTCGCACAATAATTTTACGGTGGTGGTATGATCGTGGTTCCCACGAAATTGAAGGCACCGAACTCCAAGCTCTTAGTAATAATAACAGTCCCACATAGAGATTAAATTAATATATAAAATACTTATTACAATTAATAATTTTCTTTATTGAAAACTTTTTCACCCAACAAAATGATTGGGAAGAGCACAAGAAAGTTAGGATATAAAAAATAAAAGTAACATAGTTATAAATGAAATATTATTCCCTGTAGTTGTTAGGTTCAACAGTACTTGCAAACCGTACTTTATACGCCCTTACAGCTATAAAAACTATAACTAGGATTTTTATAAAACAAAAAATCACAAAACTAGAAAGGAAGCAAACTTCGGCAAGCCGAAGTTCATATACCCTTGCAGCTATTGCAAGAATTTAATACTTTTGAAACATTAAAATTATGATTTACTTGGGTATATGTTGAAAAATATTGAAGCTATGATGATTTGCAGCTCAATTATTAGATAGTTATTTTATATATTTTGATGAAATTTAAACCGTAATTCTTAAATATTTAACCATTACTATATGTCGAAGAACTAAAAAAAAATTAAAAAACAACAAAGTTATAATTTTTTTTATTTATTTTTCCGATTGTTCCTATGGGAGCTATATGCTATAGTCGTCCGATCCGCCTCATTCCGACTTATATACTACCTGCAATAGAAAGACAACTTTTGGGAAAGTTTCATGCAGAAAGCCTTAAAACTAAGAGACTAGTTTGCGTAGAAACGGACGGACGAACAGATGGACTTGGTTATATCGACTCTCCTAGTGATGCTGATCAAGAATATATATACTTTATAGGGTCTGAAACGTCTCCTTCACTGCGTTGCGAACTTCTAACTGAAATTATAATACCCTCTGCAAGAGTATAAATATATATATTGGAAATACTACTAGCTTTTATCCCATTCCGACTTGTATACTACCTGCGATAGAAATAAGACTTTTGGCAAATAATAAATAAAATAAATAAAGACAAATAATTCAAAATATCCATTTTTTAAAGCAAAAAGATATCAAAAATGTATGTAAATTGCGGTTTATTTAGACTTATACATGAATATTAAATGTTTGTTGTCACTTTTATGGTCGTATAAAGTTAAATAGTCCATTTATTGTAAGAATGTTTTACCATCTATGCTAATAATCTAAAAGGAAATGTGTAACTATGTGGGCGGTTCGAACCAAAATGAGCCAATTTATGTTTTCTTAGTGGATTGCGATTCTTTTTAAATAAGATAGATGAAAGCGGTTTCTTACGTTTCCTTAATGCGTAGTGGCGATTTCAACATAAGAATTAATGTGTATTTACATGTTATATGCTACGTATATGGGATCTAATTGGTCGGCCAGAAAGCCATCCCGTAAATGCATTCGTTGCTTTTCGCCCCGACTGTTGATAGGCACCACACCTAAAAAACATTTTTAAATACAAATTAATTTGATACATTAAGTTGTTTGTTTACAAACCTGGATCAACAACCACAACAACACCAACTATAAGCTGATGATCTTCTAATACTGTGTTTGTGACCAAGGGAACCAAATCCAAAGCTTCTGATTCATTGCCGTCTAGTTCAACAACCACGACTAACAAATTAGTCCAGGTGAAAACGGCGCTACGTAAAAAACATGCATTGAAAAATAATAACAATAGTTCCTTTTGAACGACTTACCACTCAGCTATTTTTTTGTGACAGCGCATTACTGAATTTTCGATATCAATTGGGTGATAGTTCATGCCACGTAAAGAAATCACTTCATCAACAGCTCCTACTACATATACTGCATCATGTAGTTCTTGGTCATTGCAATTGCCTGCGCCACTAATTAGGCTATGCTCAGTGTTTCCACCCAACGAAGCAGTTGAAAAATTTAATTGCAATTGGCTTATGGAATTTAACGATTCTGTATCACTGTCGCGACTAGCCACACTTGGTGTCGTCTCATCTAGTAATGAGGCTGCCTGAGAACATTCCGTTCGCCGTAAGAATCCTAAATATCCAGTACGTGCATATAACTCAGAGGTGGCCCCAGTCACCAATTTGGCATTGAAGTGATCATTGTAGTCAGTTTCATCGCCGTAAATGGTAAAGTATCCATTTGCATTATGAGGAGCTTGAACCTAAAAAAAGGGTAAAACCTTAGTTATGGGTAATATATAATTAACAAAAGATTACCCAAATTTCACCCAAATGCGAATCGCCACAGTGACCTTTGGTATCGGGATTTGCTATGATCACTTTAACTCCTGGTAGGAGTTTCCCCGATTCAATTACACACAGCGAATTTGGAGCTCCGCGCTCCACCAAAGCCACTCGATTATTTCGCAGTGCTCTCATATCAACGTACACCTGAGCGCTCTCTGCAGAACTAGCTCCTTGGACACAAATCGCTGGATTTACACGACATCCAAAGGAAGTGGAGACACAGCGAGTATTGAGGCCAAGCGCTTGAAACAGCTTGCAGAACTGCTGGGTCAGCTGCACTCTTGGGCGCTCTTCAGCAACTACCACACAGGTCCGTACACAACGCAAGTCAATGTTTCGTTGCTTTAGGGAAGGTATGGAATTGCTGAGGGCTTTAGTGCATAATTCTATTACACCATATGAACAGAAGGTGTCGCGAACTCGATGTTGAGAAAGAGTTGACAGCCACAAACTGGGATTTGCTTCCACTTCGTAGGGTGCGATAAGTATTGAATGGTGGCCACTATATACACCAATAAGAGTCCACATTACAAAGCCAAGGCCACAATAGGGATCCAAACACAACGCAACATGACGAGAAGGATATAGCTCACAGGCCAATTTTAAACTGGCGCACAGACTAGAGAGAGATCTGTTGATTTAACAAAAATTAAAATAAAATAATATTGCGTGGCGATTTTAATTTAAGTACCGATGCGTAATGTTAACTCCGCTAAGGCGTCCGCAAGTTGACACGCTGAAATCCAAATAGGCGCTAGAGTCAAAGGTGACCGTGGCTATGCCAGCATATTTGCGTTTTGGGTTGTCATCAATGTCCAATATGGGTGGCCATGTCTTTGGGTCAATAGAGGTAGCCGCCTCTCGGGATTTTAGTAACTTAATAATCGGCTGTATAGAGAGTACAATGCCACTTTTTGAAACGTCAACAATCATGCGGACAGTCGGTAAGGTAGTATTTAAATTTTGTGGATGTGGAGGCCGTATGGTAATTGGTATTGCACCCAAATATAGGCATCCATAAAACGCGCACAACAAATCAAGTCCCGGAGGAAAAATAAGCGCTACAAAAAATGTTGTTATTCTTTTCTATTAAAGTATCTATCTACCAATTCATACCAACATGATCGCCTGCCTCAATTCTTCCTCGCTCTTGTAATAATGCAGCTATTTTCTCCGCGCGTTTATGTAGCTCGGAGCACGTCAGAGTTTTGGCAATGGCACCTAAAAGAACAATCTAGAATACGTTTATGTGTGAGTATAAGAACTTACCTTTAGAATTCAGCAACGTAAATATAATGTGATCTGGAGAGGTGTTAGCTCGCCAACGCAAAACACCTGTTATAAGTTGGGGCTGTTGATGGTTCGAACATTTCAAAATTTGCAACACTTTATAAATTGAGTATATCGACCAACCTTTCGCTCACAATCTTCGGCCAATCCAACGTCCCGTCCATGGGCTTCAGCCAGGCGATTACCCTGTACTAAATTTCCAACCATCACGGAGGCTGGTCCTACACCCGTGTCTGTAATACCACATCCAGATGATGAGCTTAATTTTGCGACAGTTTGCACACCTTTTTTTGTTGGGGAATGGTTAGTAGTATAATAATATGTTGTTTTTGTACAAGGGTTCATTTAATAAATGATTAATAAAGGCGATTTTATTAGTTTTGTTGAAATTTGTTTTTGTTGTCGATATAAACAGTGTTGTTATTTTTGCAATGAGTGTTGTAGTGGTCATAGTAGTAATCGCAGCATTGTTGAAGTGTTGTTGTTGGTAGTTAAAAATAGAGGAAAGCAATATTTGTATTTTAATAAGGTAAATAAAGCAGAAAGACCAAAAAGCCAATTACTTAAACGTATGCAATTTGATTAAACCTGGAACTTACCTTGATGTAATTCTCGTGGCTTTGGCAGATTGGTGACGCATGTATGTGGGCACATCAACACATTCGCTGGGTGAAGGGATCCCTCCAAAAATCTTCTTCTTGCCTCACATAAATGTATACCCCCAAGAGGAGTCTTGGGCAAATGATTTGGTGGAACCAACGCCAGGCAATAAATGCCAACCTGGTGAATAGAGTCTACCGCCTGCAAAACGCGTGACATCCATTGGAAACTTTCTTCCTCAGAGCAGTCGGGCCGCTGTTCAGCAATAACACACACCCGTTCGTCGCGAAGTACTTTAATGCTAAATACAGCTATGCGTCCTCGGTAAATAAAACGCATTGGTTCCACTGCTAATACTGTGGCAATTATGTCATCCGCATTATGTTTTCGACCAGTTACCGTCATAAGACCATCGCGGGATCCGCAGACGAATACCAGGCCCCCAGGACCAAGAAAGCCCAGAAGACCTGATCTTACGTAAAATTCTTCGCCAATCTGTTTGGAAATTACATTTACCGTGCCATTTCCATCTTTTGGTTGTTCGAATTCTTCCAATAGAGGTTGAACTTTAAAAGTAGAATTTGTCATTCCATCGAGACCGAAGTAGCTAGCGCTCGTGGAACCACTAGTAACGCAAATTTCTCCAACTTGATCGGTTTTGCATAGCACTGGGACTCCTTCCGATCTTACGACTACCATTTGTGCTGCTGGCATGACTTGTCCACAGTCCTGCAAAGTCAGTGACGTTAATGAGTCCTCGCTGTCCACCCGCACCACTCCGTGTGAAAGCGCTGCCATGGAAAGTACACCACGTCCTGTAGCTGATGGACTAAATCCACAGGATCCTCGTCCAGGACGGCGAAGGGAAACAGTAAATACTTCGGAACTACTAGCACACGGGCAAATCGCATCTGAGCGTAAACCTTTTGCTTGAAAAACGCTCAAGAACTGGTCACACGAAGACAGTGACCAGGGGTTGGCTCCATCGGCTACTAGCAACATACGAAGGGAAGAGAGCGAGATGTCTTTATGATCTTTGGTGGCTAATAGGCCCCAGTGTAGATCACGACTCTTCACCAAACAGCAAGAAGCCCGGTGTTTTGTTATTAATTGCATCCAGCTGGATGGTCGCAGCTTCATCAGAGCATAGGGAATGAAAATTACATGCATACCATTTAGAACCGAAGTCAAAACTGAATGCCATAATCCAACTTCACGCTTGAAATCCAAGACACAAACAATTGTTTCGCCCTCGGTGTAATGGCAGGCCATAGTCAGCGCACGGCAATGATTGATCATTGCAGCGCGGGTTACGGTGACACCTGAAAAAAATGCATAGTTGTTACATGTTTTTGGTAGTTGTCGATGGGTGCACTCACCCATAACACTGCCTTCCTTATCAGTCGTGTATTCTATGTAGGCTGCGGCGGAATCATCGACCCGTAAGTTGCCCACATTAAATTCCTTTGGTGGTTTGGGTAAATGCTCAGTTACGAACCACTGCAAACGTGGCCATCCCTTTAACTTAGCTATTTCCCCCGTAGTGGTTGATTTTGGAAGACCTTTTAAGCAGGCCTCTGAGGTTAGTGCCACAGTTATACCACAAGAACTTAACAAAAATCCCACTTGCTGCGGAGGTGTATCCGAGCTTGAAAGCGGCAACTCTATTGGAAGAGGCACTAAGCCCCGAAACATACAACCATACCAGGCTGTAATAAAACTGTAAATTCTTCGATTTAGATTTGTTTTAAATAAAAATAAGTGTTTTTACTAACCTTAATGGGTCGTTATTGGGATAAACCAAGGCAACACGATCACCGGCCTTAAGGGTTACTTGTTCAGGACCCTTGCTAAATATTTTTGTGGACAAAGCATACGCAATCTTTTGTGCGCGCGACAGTAGTTTCCCATACGTTAAGGTAGTTGTTATTTTTCCATTGGGATCAAGGACAGTAGCCATGGGACTCTTAAAAGAATTAGTGCCATATCGTTGGAGAGCGCACTCCAGCGTCCGTGGAAGTCCTGCTGGTATCGACAGTTGCTCACCCTGCACGGGAGTCATGGTGCTGCCCTCCGGTTTTGGTGCATTGGGATCCTTTGTATTGGCAGCAATCTCTAGCTCAATGTCATTGTCTTCATAGAACTCTGGCAATGGTCGGCGCTTTGGTCTTTTAAGAGTGTTTAGCAGTTGCTGTATTTTGGCAGACACTTTCCACTTGCCATTGGCATCTGCCTCGTTTAATTCATTCTGAGTTACGTTAACATATCGTGTAACTCTGTCAGCAGCACGATGAGCATTATTAAATTGTGTGATGTCAGGAGCGTTGACTAAGGAAACAGCAAAAAAAGACAAAATGTACTTAAAATTACCAGATTGAGAGAAAGTTCCATCTATTTCCTGGGTGTGCACATTTAAGGTGCGAAAGTACATACGTTTGCACAAACATTTGTAAATCACTCCACTTGTGCTGAATCCAGCAACGCGTTTAATTAGGTAGGAAATTCAATTACTTACACTGCTTTTGCTTGAACGCTTTGTCAGAAAGGTCATTTTCTCTCTTGTATGCAATGGGCGGCGAGTCCGTGCTTGAAGTGTCTGATGTTGGCTGTATAAAAAAGATCGATTAAATACAATTCTAAAACCCATACTACTTCCTCTGATCTGGGGCAGAACACACCATCAAATCAGTAATAAATTCAATACAATGTTATATTACTCACAAGGGGAGGCAAATTTTGTGGTGGCCGCCTATCTGGAGCGCTATTCGATGAAGTATACTTCGGATTTGGCATTTGGTTCTGTTTCACGTCCAGTCTCGAATGCTGCTGTGAGCCTATCGATGATTCACGAATTGGGGGTTTTATTATTGGTTCGGGTGGTAGAATGCTGTTGCTTATATGATCCCGCGGGTAGTTGTACTCCTTGTCGGGGGAAATGTTCTCCTCGGGAATGGATTCGTCATCTGTCGATGAGTCCAGCTCATCATTGCATCCAGGGCTTCGGTTCAGGACAGATGTGCGCTTCGACGGCATCGGAAGGCTGGGCTTTGGTCGACCTTTAAGAGCTGCTAGGGCCTGCTGCACAGCCTCTTGTCGTACTTCTGGGATTTAAAGACGAGTTCGCAGTAAATTATCTCTGCCAATTCGCACTACTCACCAGAATGATAGCGTTTCTCATTGTGCGTTACTTTGCGCTGAGTGCGTCGTTGACGATGTTGACTATTATTTGTAGACTGCTGATTCTGAAAGCCACTAGGCTCGCGAGTATTCTGATATCCGGGATCGCCGACTGCTCCACCCTGTGGTCGCATATTTTCGTAGCCGGGAGCGCCAACATGCCCACCTTGCTGCGCCGACGACTTTCCCACTTGGAAGTCGATCTTTTTGGAATGTCTTTGCTGCGAGGAGGACAATGAGGGCACTTCGGTGACATAGCTATATCCTTCGCTGGACACTATGACGCCGTCACTACTGACGTTACCGTGGCTGCTGCTGTTGTTGGCATCTTTGACATTGTAGTATGGCGGTGGCGGTGTACTCTTCACCTTGTCGACTTGGGAGCAGAGAAGTGGAAGTGAAATCAGCAACATGACAAACTATTTTTGAGTCCACATACCTTCATGCTTTTTCAGGAATGGCTGCAACAGCTTTGCCCGTTTTTTTTCGTAGCCCTTCTGCGTAATGTCACCTGAAAATGCAAATGGGAAAGGGCTCTCAGCAGCTGCGTTGGACCAAATCAGTCAGCTGGGTCTGGGTCTGCTCTTATTAGTGAAGAATAGCGACACAATCATTAACCAGTGCTGAACGTACAAACACTCGGCATACACACACTTTTCTTTAATTGATGGCTGTCTATGTGTGCGTGTGTCTCCGCAATCCCTGAACAGCACTTATAAAGTTGTTGAATTAGCTGTGGCTGAACATTTGAGGGCCATGTTTCCACAAACTCATTATCGTTTAACAACATTATTTGATTTTCATGAGTATTGCGAACATGCGAAAATTAGTATACCTTCAGAGAGTTCCAAGTCCAGTTCAGCGAGCTTTTCGCGAACATAACCAGGCAACGAGGAAGGGTGCTCCATGGCGAAGAATTCTAAGTAGCTTCCTGTTTTTTAACTCTTTCCTTTTAGGCGTTTAACTATTGATGGCCGCTGCACACACACCCAAACTGAGACACCGCTCGCTACTTTCCCACTTCGAAGACGAAAATCGATCGATTCGTATTCATTTTATTTTACATTTTTCGAGCCAAATCAATAGATCCTGCAGCCCCCACAGACCAAATACATCGTGCCGATATGGACTGATGTTTTACGAATATTTATTACGAATTTGCACAATGAAAGTAAACAAAGAAAAGCAGCAGTACAAATCGATTTTATGGCTAGCGAAAAATTGATAAATAATTTGACCGTACTACTGGGCAAATGGTATTTTCTTTGTTTCGATATTCGGCCACACTGTCTTAATAACACCAGCAATCTAATTGCATAAATTTTTAAAAGTTTTCACAAGTTATTGTCCTAAATAGGAGATTCTGTTTATTATTTTTGTATATGTGCCTGATTTTCCATTAATGCTGAACTAACTTGCTTTCATTCATATCGCAGCCCTGAAGCGTTGCATTTTGTGATAATCGTTGTCTGAACAGTAAACAAATGAAAGCCCCTCCAATAATGCAGTTTTTTGATTAATATAACATTTTGCAGTTGGTTACGAATTGTATTTTGTTTTTATTCAACTTTGTCAACTTTTGCAAAAGTGATTTTAAGCGACTTGGAAGAATTGCCTGTGCTGCCATCGATATTTTGCCATCTCCATTAAGAATGCGTGAGTTTATTTAAACTAAACTAGGCCTTTAGAAACTGACTGTGTTTATCTATGGCAGAGAACGTGAAATTACAAGAGGAAATCAAATCATTGAAGGGCCTTGGCCAGCACTTCGAAAATCTATTGAAACTGGCGAGCATCGAGCTAGGCGATTTCTCCGACGACGACCTAATACTTCTTGAAAAATGCGCCCAATACTATGCCCTTACCCATATTCACGATATTAATATTAACCTTCTGCGCGACTTTTACTACGCCACAAAAAAAGACTGTCTGGAAACCAAACGGACCAAGGCACAGCAACGTTTAGAGCTGCAACGCATCAAGTCTTCCATCAAGAAGGCGGCTGGGGACGTGGCCGTGTTGGAGCGGTAAGGGGGAGCGGTCCCGTTAAGTCATACTTCAGACTAAAATCTGCCATTACAGTTTTAACGCTGCTGCTAAGGAGCGACTGATCCCGGACACCGTCGTCTTGCAACGAAACAGCCAACAACTTGCCAGCAAACAGGCCTTGCTAGACCGACAAAAAACTCTCAAGATTCCAAAGGACTTCAACATAGAAAGCATTATCGCGAAGGTGGATTCGCTTGAGCGGCGTTAGTAAATTACTTTGAGTTGGTTTTTTAAAAAATTATTTAATTGTATTTACTCAGTAATGCAAAAAACATTTTACAATAACATAAAATCTGCAAATTTAAAAGACAATGTTGAGGTTTACAAGGTTTACATGCTTCTCTCTTCTGTTATTATACTTTATGGAGGACAAGCGTTTACAAATTTTTCCAATTGTTGCTAGGTTGTGTCAAATATTTATTTAAAGGATCGTGAGTGGAAAAACTAGAAGACCAAATAATTTGTGGTAATTTGCCAGCTGCTTAAAGCATACAAAAAGTGTACTGTGTTCTTCCATGCCATTGTTCATATGTATGTATGTATTTCCAATGTGGTATATGTATCATATATATTGGTGTGTATAGATAGAATTAGTAATTTCATATTCTTTAAGTTGTTGCTTGTTGTTATGTATATAAAGGGCGGGTATCTGGCAGACAAACATTTCGGCTAGCAACGCGCTCCACGCCACAGGCCTACTGCACGTATTCTGCCGTCTTTTAGCGGAATTCGGGCGCGTCGTCCTGTGTTATGTCGCCGTACTTCCAGATGGCCAGGTGTGCGGCTAGAGCTGCCTCCTGTGCGGCTCTGTACTGGTCCACAAGGTCTTTGAGCTTGCGCTCACGACGTTTCTCGGCTAGCACAAGGCCCTCGGCGACCAACTGCTTTCCGAAATCGGCTTTAGTGGTTGGATCGTGCAGCGTGGCCAAGTTCGGCGAACCAGCGACCTTTAGCTCCACATTAAGTTGAACCTTGTGGTTTAATACGTCTTCGGAAAAGGCACGCAAGGCTTCTTCCTTGTCTTCGTTGTCAGTTGGCAGGGCGACTAAGGCCAGCGCGTACTCCGTGGCGTACGGTTTTTCGCTGCTGAAGGCTGGGGGCAAGGCGGCCAAACGGTTTGTGGGCAGAGTCTGAAAAAGGGATAAGGGTTACAATATTTCACAATTTTATATCTCTTAATTTGTGTTATTTTTGCAAGTGTCGCAAGTCGAAGACATTTGGAGCATGGTTTGGGCGCCCCCAGCCGCTCTGCGCTCTCGCCTCGAACGTGTATTATCCTGCTGCTTTGGACGAGTGGTTGAGCCAAAAAATATGGAAGAACCTCCGTACCTTTGCAGAGAATACAACACGACTCGGCATGGAGATCACATTTAACACAGCTGTAGGGTTTAGATAGCGCCCTCACACAACGTTTATAGTCACACGGAGAAGCATTTTTAATTTGGCAAGTTTATGACTCATGCGTTTCTCTTCAAGCCGGAAACGGATCTAAGGAACTTGCTAAGTATAGTCTACACATGGAATTGTCCTTACCTCCTTGTTGCCATAATCTATGTACAGGACGGTAGCGTTACTGCCCTGGACTCGTTCCACCTTGGCGCGGTACCATTGATTATCAAGAGTAAATTGAGCGGCCACTAGGTCGCCGCGCTTAGGGGTGTACGATCCAGCTATGGGTGGATTAGACTGAAAATCTGCATGAAGTTTGCTCATTAGTGACTCAAGTTTGGATCCGTTTTCCACGGACTGCGCGAAAAATGTCAGAGTTTCGGTAATCTCAGTGACAATTACGTTTTCGTAGTTGACTTTACGCTCCACTACCACCTTGTCCTCCTTCTCCTCCTCAACAACTGTTTTTTCCTCAGGCACTTGTTCCACATAGTTGGCCCAGATGTTCTTCTTGGCGGCCTTGGCGCGATCTTCAGCACTCTTCAGCAGGCGGTAGTATTCAGATTTTTCCGCACTAAAGTGCACTTCCGCAAGGCCCTCTTCAACTAGGGCAACTGACAAGTTTGCACCGCTGTCCGTCCAAAGCCAACCGATCACTGAAGAACCTGCCTTGTCGGTGGTATCGATATGCACGGAAACGTCTCGTTGCAAGACACGCTCCCGAGTAAAGGTAAGAGCCTCATCGCCAAACGGTTCTCCCTCTTGGGCGGGAACGCCATTTAGCGCCGGGCGGGAAGAGCGCGGACACGAAATGCCTGCTAGTAGGAATGTGACAAGGCAGCTGTCCTTTGGCACAAACAGTCGGAGGCGCGATCCGCTTGCAACAAACTCAACAATGGCCTCACTACGCAGAGCTCGCTGCCACGACGGCAAGTACTGGACTTTAATTCGGGAATGGTCAACAGTCAGGTCGTTCACCCGCAGTGTTGCATTATCCTTCTTTGCGTGCAGTCCCTTCAATCCCTTGATAGCTTGCTGCTCGGCAGCAATCAATTGATCATAGGCGGAAGATCTCTGATCGTCGTCTTGGCGATAACGCACACATGTAGCCAAGCCCTTGGCCACCATAGCCTCTGCAACGTTTTGTCCACCAATCGAGACCGTGTAGCAGTACTTCTCCGGGAAGTTTTCACGCGGGGGCGAGATGTAGTCCAGGTTGCACTGCACTTTCTTGTTTATCAGCTTTTTGCGCAGAAACTCGCGGGCGTCGAACATGTGCGGAATTTCATAGAGTGGTCTATAGTTCTTTCCGCGGGGGGGGCTTTTACGATTTCCTCGCCGTCCGTGCCAACCACCGCCCGTTGGTCACGCGGCGGCCTGATGGACGAAAAGAAGACCTTCTTTACTTGACCGTTGGATAGGCGTACATTGATAGCATCGCCATTAAAAACCTCCACCACTGTTCCGGAGAAGTCCTTCTCTTTCGAATTAAAAGTAGGTGTTTTTGCCTGATAGTCTTGCCATTGGCGCAGGCGTTTTTCCTTTGCAACACGCTCCGCAGCACGCAGTTTATCAGCGCCTGAAAAGTACACCGACAGTGTTATAGTTTAGTGAAGGAATATTAATAAGTGACGGAGTATAAATATAATTTTAATGCGAAATCAAGCTGAAAAAGTCAATGTTGACGGGGTGAAATGAACGCAGCGACAACAATCAGTCACAAAATTCTTGGAGTCCGTCTTTTTTCTGGCAGCCAATTGCAAACAGTTAACAGCACAAACATAGGTTATTTACCAATTCGGAGCTGAGCTGTGCAATCGAGCTGCCAACTTGGCAACCAAAGCATTATCACTTTGGTTTTCTTTCCAGTAAATATAGCAAATAGTTAAGCTCACCAGTTTTCATAACAGCCATGGACCAGTCGACACACTTGGCAAGTCCCTCGCGCAGCAATGACTCGGCAATGTTGCCTTTCGGGTACAAAATCGTGCCAATAAAGTTGGAGTTGTTGACCGATTCCAGGCGGATTTCCACATCCCGCTGCAAGAGGCGGGTCTCCACGTAGTAGCGAGCTTCGTCGGCAAACGGGACCTTAACACTCAGGTCAGGCTTGCCATCAGCGTCCAACTTGACCCCTGGACACCGGATGCCAGAAATCATCAGCGTGATGTAGTGAAAGTCGGGCAACAAGAATGCGCGGACGGTGGAGCCATCGCGCACGTGCTCGATGATAGCCTTAACGGGCTTTCCGCCGTAAATGTCGACCAGGTGGGCGGGGTTCTCGTGGGCCCACTTAATGTTGCGCACCTTGTCGGCGACACTCGCGTTGGTCGACCATTTGCCGCGGCCCGCGGCACGTGCCTGGTCCTCCAACTCGATGAGGGTCTGCTGTTCAGCCGTGGGACGTCCCTCGCGGCGGACCGATACCAGGCCCTCACGCACAATGGACTCGACCACATTCTCACCAGTTTCCTTGTCCTTGCCGATCCACACAAAGCCGTACTCCCGGTTCGAGTTGGCGGGCTTGTCGAACGTGAAGGTCACTTCAACACCAATCAGCTTCTTGCGCAGGAACTCCCGCGACTCCCAGGCCCAGGGTTCGTCCTTGGTCTCGTCGCCGCCGGCGCCGGGACGACGAGCCAACTTCGGGGCCAGGACATGCGAGAAGGTGATTTGTTTCTCCGGGGGCGGGGCACCTTTGGTCGCGCGGATAACCACAGTGTCGCCGGAGAGAACCTGGAAAAGGTGGGGGTTTGCGAGTGAGGTTAAATTAAATGCACGTGTAGATGGCTAGAGGTGGACGTGTAACGATGGCCCCTATCGTTTCGCAGCCAATTGAACTATCGATGTACCCAATATTTGTTAAAATCACGACGAATTGGACAACATTTGGAAAGTAAAAAAAAAATATTCTACCACAGAAACCTATTAACTATGAGGCAACAAAAAACTATGGTCTCGCCGACTGTTTATTTAATTAAATTAAAAGAAACATGCAGCAGATTGCGCCTGCGCGAGAAATTTGCCGCATAGGCCTTATCGAAAAATCAAGTACCGGTCCTCGGATTTGTTCATGCAGGCCAATGAATTCGGTGATTTGCCCTTACTGGAAACAGGCCTTTTCCAAACCGGTTTACGGCAGAAGAAATGCAAATGCAAGCATCTTGGGAACGTCCGTAGTTTGGGCATTTGCTCAGATCTGAGATGTCTGTACTGGATGTACATATGAGTAAATAGTTATTTATGAATAATCTATACATAAATGGGCAATATGTAAATGGGCAGGTACCGGAGCGACGGCTATTACCTGTAAGATCAACAGGTTTTTGACAGAGAAGCCCAAACGAAAAGGATGTCGAGCCTTTGTTTGCTGTGTGCCAACGTCACCAAGCTAAATTCTGCCGCGAAACTTTTTACCCACTGGAAACTGATAATTGTTATCACCTCTAGTGCGGACAAAAGTCCACGGAGCTGACTGAATGTGGCGACTGAGCATCGTCGGCAGCCAAGAGTTAAGAGTAGGCGATGGACTATGCTCGCCCAGGCCAGTTACATTCAGAAATATTGGAAAAAGACTCCCAGACAGTGTTCTGAACGCCTCCGTATTCGCCTAGGAGGTTAGAAACGAACCCGTTGGGCGCACTAATTAAATCTCGTTCGAATTGTGGGGCGGGACGGAAAGCAGCTGCTCCTTAAACGTCGGACTGCGGAGAAACTGTCCTGGTGACGTAGCAATACCACAACAACACGGCCAGCAGCCGGAGAAAATCTGCCAGCTTGGCACCTACGATAACTTTCATTTCTTCGGATCGGACGAGCGTGTGCAACGTGTCACACACACGCACCGAGTCTATACGCGTCTCCCTCGCACCAGTCAGAGTTGGACTCGGCCGCTTTGGCCGCCGCGTTTGCCACGCTGATGAAATATAGTACAGGATTTGTAGGCTTTCCAGGGGACGTAACTAACTAAGTGACCCCAAAACGCAGAAGCTCAAAACCAACCATGACCAACTTACCTGCTTCACAACGCCGGACAACGACTTCGCAGGCGCTGGCGGGGCATCTTTCGCTGCTCCGGCAGCTGTCGCGCTACTTGCTGCTGTTGCCATTTTCTCTTCGGATGCGGGGAGTTAGTAGCAGAGGGCCGTGGCACTAGGCTTCGATGTCGGATATTGCTTTGATTGCGCTTTGGGCTAAACACCGCTTCCAGCCTAATGAACTTATTGGAGCAAGAAAACGAACCGCACCGCACAAAATCTAAAAATTTTCACACAGTGACAGTGCTAGGGGTGGAGAAACATCGATGCCGATATCGATTAGAGGTGGCTCAACATCGATGCCAATATCGATGATACCGATATTTGGCGGGGCAACATCGATTCACTTCCATCTCTACTCTGCTTCCTTTCTGCCGCAGCGCTGCTCACTCATCACCGTTTTCCTAACAGAAATGTAAAGAATACGACGATTAAACATTGTCGATTAAAGGGACCGTCCTGTAGAGGTGGAAAAACTGTCCGCGCTATCGATAGCTTTCGAGTCAGCTTCCCCCAAGCATCGGCATCAAATATCGATATCGTCAGCTGTCCGCCGGTGCATTGCGTTACGTGATTTAATTTCTTGTGTTTGTTAAATTGTCATAAAGCAGCTAAAATGAATCAGGCCGATGTAACAAAGCTCATGTCTCAGCTGCGCATCGCGGTCAGACCCAAAAAACGCAACCTGAAGAACGCGGACGGACCGGAAGGGCGGCTGCTTAAGCTGCGTAAGACCGTAACGGCGTTGGTAAAGCATGAGCGCATTGAACTGTTTTACAATCGAGCCGATGAAGCCCGTGGCTACGCCGAGCTGGTAAGCAACCACAGATCTTTGATTTGCAAGGTACTACGTCTATAAATGTATTCTACTGCAGCTCATTTCCAATGCCATACGCCACGGGGACCGCCACAATGCTACAATGGAACTGGCTGATTACTGGCTCCTGGAGAAGCAACTGGTGCACAAGCTCTTCAAGGTGCTGGTTCCGCGCTATGAAAATTATACTGTTTGCTACACTCGCATGTACAAAGCCCCTCGGGACTATCCCGGGATTTACTACAGGCAGTCTGTGCTGGAGCTTCGCGGCAATCCCTACCCCTCGCTTTTGGCGGATCACTCTCAGAACAGGAATCTGTTGCAGAATGTGCTTCTTGACGAGGCAAGGAAAGAGTTCAGACGTCAAAAACTGTCTGACTTAGTTAACTAGTTAGTCCCTTGACTCCCTAGATGCTACTAGTTAAGACCGGCAGGGAGATTGTCGCTTAGAACACAGTTAAGACTTAAAAGCCGTTTTATTATAAATGTTTGTATATACACAAAAATTGTTTGAACTCGATTGTTCTATAATCGGCCTACGGTCCATAGGCAATACAAGCCTTTACGTGCTAAAGCTTACTGACGTTGCAATGGCTGAAGTAATCCATTTTCCAAGCTGGAATTTAACAAAATTAGCGTTTAAAGGACGACATCTTGTAAAGGACTACTTACTCTTCCCGGTAAGGCAGGTTTCCCGCAACATTTCACAGTGGCTGTAGAAAAATTGGTGCTCATTTGATGAGGTTGCACAGATGGGCAGAAACGGATCACAAGTTGCAATAGCCTTACAGTCCGAACCGTCGTCGATTACTGGCAGAGCCAAAGGCAGTGCAAGGAGCATAACAACGTTGGAGAGCAGGAAGCAAGCCAAATAAATCTTTCTCTCGGATGTATTTACTAAACTGTGCGTTATAGGCATAATTATTGTGATAGTCTCCTCGAAGTTATTGTAATTGATGAGCGGCTCATAGTTTTCTTCTCGATCGAAGTTTGGAAAAAATTATTACTTATAGGTTTGAATTTTGTATTATATACGTTGCTATGTATTTTCTATTTGGTCACAGATTGTAGGAGCCCAAAGTTGCTGCCGACACAAAAAGCTATCCGACAACTGATAAGCACTGGGGGGACCTACGCGCTGATGCATACTAATTCGCTCATGTTCCTGAACCCCAAAAGTTGCCATGGAAACGAGTTCGGCACACTGGCCAAAGAATCAATGATAACTTCACCTCTACTTTTCACCGGAAGCTTTTGTTCGTGTACTCCCGAAATACGGTATGAGTGGGGTTGCTCAACTGACTGGAACACCGGCTTTGTTCGTAATTTCGTTCACATTTAATTCGGCCGGTCCAGAAATGTCGACTTTTAGATGGTTTTAAAGTGCATATTCGAGTATCCACATTAATGTTTGTAGGATGAGTAAGTTTGCACTGCGCATTAAATCGAACACGACGTAATAATAACTGCCTCTAATAAAAATTTCTATATTCGACAGAATACAACTTTTTTTAGAGCGAAGCAGTAATATCATGATCGTTGGAAAACAATTTTATTATATAGTACTTTAAGAGACAATATTGAGTTTATGTCATGTTAGAATTTAAGTCTTTGAAGTTTACGAACCGCTCGTCCGGTGCTATAATTCTATTAGCACTTCTTATAGAGTTCTGCGGCTCTAATGCAAAAATCGACAATTGAAAGTTTAACTAAAACATTCAAATAATTCTTCATATTTTTGTTATCCATATATGTAGGGCCTTGGTAAAAGCGTGTTAGGGTACATCATCAACTTCATTGTTGAGGTGCGGTTGCAGAACACAACGACAGTCTGACCACGTGAGCAGGGTCAGATGACTTAATTACATTTGCATTATTCAATTTTATGACAGCTGTTGAACTCAATGCGCCTACATACTGACCCCAAGTTTTTGGTTACGAGGCGTTGCAATGGCAATTATGCACATCTGACGCGGGTAAGCGAAGTTCACTTTGTCCTTATTTCGCGGCACACAAGGTTTCGCTTTGGCGCATATATATAACAATAATAATAATTATTTCGTATATGTACAAACTTTACCCTGATACCAACTATATATTGTTTGAGTAGAAGAAACATTGGTGGACCTTAACATGTAATTGATTTAAGGAGAGGTGTTAAAACATATTTGCTTACAGCGAACTACTGGGCTTGCAAACTTTTCATATAGTAAATAAGGCATGGAAAGGCGGATTTTGAGCATATACCACCTTCCAGTGACCATTGATTAACCCCGGTAGAATAATATAGCCCAGATAGGCGTATTTTAACCAGAATGTTACGGACTAATTGACATAGCAGGCCTCTCCAGTTTCCTGCAATGTACGCTGGGAAACACATTTGCTTCAATTCCGTCGACCATACTTGACGCCCATTTATTTTAGCCTAGATTGTAACCCACGGGAGCCAGTTAAGCAACCAGCAAAATAAAAATAAAATTTAAAATGTTGAAGTGTAGAACATGCGCAGCTCATTGATAAAAGCCCAGGCGTCGGTGCGCATTCTCTCAGTACACACGACCGAGAAAACGAGAGAAAGGGCTTTCTTATGAGCATAAAATCCTGCAGGATATTATACATGCCATGGCCTTTTATGCTGCTGTCCTTATATCTTTCCATTCAGTTTAGAAGAGTAGCGCAACGAGAGCAGTTGATACAATCTGTCGTTTAAGTCATTCTAAGCTGAGTCTGAGTCTGGAGTTCTTTTGTGTGTATAACTAACGGTCGGTCCTCAATTTTATCGGTTGTGTGCAAGTAATATTAAGAAAAACTGTGACAGAGTCCAAAAACCTGGTCATAAATTTAAATGTTAAGATACTGTTCTGTGCAATAGAGCTGAATTGATGTGAAAGTTTTTTTGGTGAAAATTATATATTTTTTAGTTTCTTTTCTTTCAAAGATACAAATTAACTCTATTTATTTTAACTATTGGCTTTTTTCAATCGGGTATACCCTTAAATGTATCTACCATAAGGTATAGTTTTTCTTTTTCGCAGTGGGCAGAAGCAGAAGTCACAATATGAGAAATAATTATAAAGCGCTTCTACTGGCATCGTTTGTGACATGGTCGGGGGTGTTGTGCAGCACAGTGTTAGGCACCACAGAGGGCCAAGAAACACCTCTCGCACTTCCTGTGGCGGAGCAGACCCAGCCCACAACAGCTATACAAGGAGAAGTATGGGAGGAGGACGATCACGAAGTGTTAATAAGGAATGAACGGGGCACCAAGAGCGACGGTGAGTCGAAAGCTTTTAGGCACAATATGAGAACGTGGTTACGCGCCTGGTCCAGGAATTAATTTAGTTTGGTATTAATATGTCTAGGCTTGTCGTGCCGATATGGCAAGAATCCGTGGACTGAGTGCGATACAAAAACCAATACACGTTCCAGAACCTTGACATTAAAGAAGGGCGATCCAGCGTGCGACCAAACGCGAACCATTCAGAAGAAATGTAAAAAAGGTAACACATAAAAGCAGTTATTATTTTTTAAGTTAGTAATGTTCTTGGGCAAAGTTCCTACATCAAGATCTATGGCTTTCTTCCCATGTCAACAGCATGCCGGTATGAAAAGGGATCCTGGTCGGAATGCGCAACTGGACAAATGACTAGAGCTGACAAATTAAAAGCGAGCAGTGATCCGTCCTGCGAAGCAACGCGTGTCATTAAGAAGAACTGCAAGCCCGGAAAGTCCAAGGACAAGAGTGCCAAAGAACAGCGTAAGAACAAAGATAAAGGTCAGTTCTCTTGTTTAGGATTATCGATTGAATGCTTAGTTACAAAACGTAAACAAACTTTTGAAAGACCATCTAAAAAATTATAATTTTCAATTCAAAAAAGTTCACAACATCTTTTTCTCTATCTTTAATTTACATGCAGCTACTCGCAAAGGACGGGCTTAAGTGATTTTATACTCGATAATTTTAAATGCCCAGTGTTGGTTTGCATCACTCCGATGCTAAAAATTTATGTTAAACTTATTTTTAATAAATTTATAACAAAAAAATCGTAATGACATTAACTGTCGGCTATGTATACCCGAAAAGCATTTTAAATAAATGCACATATTGATTAATGTTGTAGTTCGGTTTTCAAGCAAACGATAAACTTAATATAAACGACAGTACGTTCTATACTGTAAGACGTAATAGCAACTTTGCGGAATTTAACATATTTATGCAATGCAAAATAAAAATATATTCATACAATACCACACCTACATAAATACCAAAGTATTTAGTTTTATCCAAAAATTAAATCATATTTACATTCAAGCCAACATCCGTTATTCTCTAAAATTATCCAAACTGGAAAGGCATTTGCGTTTTCAAAATAAAGATTAATTATGAAATGCAGCCTATTAAATTGTGTGACTGTTTATACCACTTAAAATAATAGAAAATGAAAATGTCAACACCACTTCCATCAATTTAGCAGAGTTGATCTTCAATTGAATTTAAATAACATTAACCGTAAATCTAAGATGAAAACCAAACAATTAATCTGATTATTGATGTAAAAATTTGGCAAATATCAGCTTCTGTGTCTGATCTCTAAATTCCGACACAAACAGAAAATCAATATTGAATTCATAGAGGCAGTAAAATCGTTTGTCATTCGCAGATAATAATAAATGAATAAAACACTTAGTGTAAATATTGTAAAAATAAAAATTTACTATAGAAAAAAGGAAACTGAAAGACAAAGAAAAAGATATGACGGGTCAAGATCACGGATTCGTCTTAGTTGCAACGTAGGCGATTGGCATTTTAAAGTAGTTTACAACTCACTTTGTTTGGGTACATTTAAAAATTTGGAAATACCATTCCCAAAATTATTATGATAGTCGAAATAAATACATACATACATACATACTTACATTCATACATATTCTGATCAAAAATTGCACCATTTCGAAGATGTGGTTTACCTTTTAAATAAACACATATATAAACTTAGAACGTTAACTACGACTTAATGTATTTGTATGTAAGCAGTTTTACAACCATACCCGTGAATTCATAACTACAAAATCAAGAAGAACAGCTCACTTACATACAGCATGCTGTTTCGTAAAAACATCATCGTTAGGGGCAGAATTTATCTGAGTCTTTTAATTCCATACGGAAGAGAAGGAAACAACTCCCTCAAAATAAAGTGAAATTTGTTTACGTACGTATACAACATAAGAAAAAAGTAACTGAACTTTAATAAATACATATATTACGGAATAAAGCGTACCATAATTTTTGATACAACAATTTGATGGGCCAATACAAATTCTTACAAGGAATGTAAAATGACGAACGTTATAAAGGGGATCTGCAAAAACGAGATTCTGCGATGGTGAATCTATTTTATTGCTTTAACGTTTATCTTTTGGGTAGTTTGTTGTGCTTAGCTTTAAACATTTAAAAGAGAAATTTTTTTCTGAGATAACGACCATGCGCACATCGAATTTTATGAGACAAAAATGGGAAATCCGCCTTTAAATTAAGCAAAAGGCGGATATCAATTTTGAAGTGATCAATTATATTCTTCACATTTTCGTGTAGAAGTTAAAAGCAGGGCTGTTTATAGGGGGAAATTTCGGAAAGCTCTCAGAATTATTCTTTTCCCATATGGCCAGACTGCATTGTTAAAGAAAATAAAAATTAAATTTGCGTTTAGATTGAACTCTAATCAAGATTTTTAATGTGAGGTATTTCTTTCGTTTGAGTGGCTTTAGTGAGTACCCGGTATTTGATATCTTCCTTATTTTATATTCTCCGTTTGAAACTACTTTAGCTAAAGCGTATTTATTTCTTGCTGTTTATTTTACTTGTCTGCGTCCTCTCTTTGTTTTTTAACCAATATAAATCGGGCTCTCAGAGAAGCACTCAAAACATGTTTGTCTGAGCTCTTTGAAACAAAATGGAACTGGGAAAGAGAGATATGAACTCAAACTGGCTGAAAACTGTATCTACTTGTATTTTGATATACATAATTGTAAAACGGCTCGAAAAACTCCAATCTGTTACACAATGCGTGGTCATTGTTTACATTTAGCCACAATGCATCCATGCACATAGATAAAGGACTGTGTATCTTATCTCTGACAGAACAGCCACGACAAATGCACTTGTTTTATATTTGTTGCATGGGCTTTGATTAATTAGTCTTAGAATCGAATCCGAATCTTTGTTTACATGCATAAGTCGAAAGAGGTACCTATCAATTAAAACTTGGGACGGAAAACTATTTGAAAGTTCGGGCAATAAGATACCTATCATTAAGTGTCCTACTAGTGTTTTCTCTGCCTTGTTACGATACCATTTTATTCTGAGAGTACGGGTACTGGGCATACAAGTTTAATATGCTTGAATGTTTTCATTAACGGTCACTATAGTAATATAAAGAATGTGCTTTTGTAACTGATAATATTTATTTACAAAAGAGACTCGATTGGAAGTCATACAGTGCCAGAAAGGCGAATCAGAAAATTGAAGACCTCCTATATTTTAAAAGATAACCTATAGATAAAGGTCAAAAGCAGAAAATAATAGGGGTTTCTTAAGTTTAATTTTTCCAAATTGTGTACAATTTTAAATCTATTCTTTATTCGGCAGATTGGATACCAGATGGGAATAATACCAAGAGTTTTTCATCGCTGTGTATATAAATTTGTTGATGGTATAAGAAGACATGTCTCAGTGCCGTCGCCGCTGCTCTCAAAATACTCTCTGGGTTTTTGAGTAGTTTTCGAGCCTCTCGAGTTCGTCGAGTTGTGGCGTTTCGCCTACTCAGTTTAGCCACAACTCTGAATGCGAGCGTGCCGATCGCAAGCCGCTAGTCTTACAGTGAAGTACATTTCCTCAAGACATTTCTTCCGTTAAAATTTTGTGGAACCACCGCCTGAAACTTGAACCCATTTTGCAAATGCCCGGATATTTTCTCTCTAAGATTTGAGTGAGTTTCGATTTCTGATTCCTGCTATTGCGTGTGCGCGCAAAACATTAGTGCAAGACACCCCCTCCTGTTATCATCCAGAGAGAATTCGCGTTGAGTGAAAAAGCCTTATAAGAGTCACCAAGCTACCAATTTTAAAAGAATGTGGGTGTGGGTGCTATTCCTTCGGGAAGACCTGTAAGTAGAAGTACAAAGCCGGTCCGAAATTTATTTCTAAAAATGTAATGCTGGTTAAAACATAACATTAGGGTAAAGACATAAGAAAATTGTATTCGTTTTTAAAGTCCACATGTTCGCCAGATGCCCCGCTTATTGAGCTACTAAGAAGACATTAGTTTTCTTTGAAAATTTAAATTAGATTTGGCTTACACATGCGTTGGAGTTAGGAACTTAATTTTATGTCTTTCAATAAAGACAACAATTTGTGCAATACTTTTCTGTCGCTGAAAACACTATTGAATGGTTTTTTTTTTCATCTTTTCAATTTTGTTACTTCTTTTTTAACTTATTTATTGATTAATATACTTTTTGTCACTTTTTGATGTTTGATTGCTGTGTTTCCAAGGTCATCTGTTTCTATTATTTTAAGCTCATTTCCAAGATACATGTCTACATCGAACTTTTCGTGGAGTATTATATTATTTAGTCTAATCTGCTGCTGATTATACAATGGCATCTTGCGATCCTCTGGGGGCAAATATGGATATTTGGAAAGCACACTATTTAAACTACTGGTCTCTCTGGCCGAATCTCGGGTTCTTTGTCTTTGTTCGAGCAAGCATATTTCTGATTGTGATTTGTGCAGAAAGCTGTGAAAAAGCTTGTGTTTCTTCATGCGGGTATTACAATTTTCTTTTTCGATAGCATAGCTTATCTTTTTAAAGCGCCTTTGTTTTCTCCTTGACTTTGGGGATTCTATGTCGCTGTTGTTCGCCGGCGTCCGCAACAAAATGTGATATCCTGCTCTTGTCTCAAAAATACTCGAGAGCTCGTTAATTTTTAAGCGCAAAACTTCTTTCTCAAAACCGAAATACAGTTGAGTAAGCTTAAAGGAGCCCACGTCACCGCCGTGTCGAGCAGAGCAGCAATCGGAGATTTCTCTAGCCAATTCAGCAAACTCGATTTTTCCGGCTGTTATAAGATCCCGGCCCTGCGAAATTAAGTCTAGGGCTTCCTCCTTAGTTCTCTTTACAATCCGTTCACGGAATGAACTACGTCTATCTGATTTACTGTGTTTTACTAATATGTGTCTACATCGCAGCGTGCATCGATAGTTGCACTCATATTCATTTCCAGCAACGCCATTCCAACCGTCGTCTTGACCTCCTATGTACTGTTTTGGCGGCAATGTAAAGTATACTTTTCGGGTATTTGTATCATAGAAGTAGCATTCCTTACTTCTGGGCGCCAACCGTTCTTCCCAACCAACAGGCAACTTGTTATTCTCTGTGGGTTTAGTTAGTCCGCCAGATCCGATCGACAAGTCACTGTCGACAATAAAGCCACCATACAGGTATTTTTCAGCAACGTCGCTGAAATTAAAATTTTTAGAGCCCGAGGGTGTTTCAGAAAAATCTTTGTTCTTATTTTCGAAATCATCTATTTTATATATCTCGAACCTTTCTGAAGTACAATTGTTTAGCTCAAAATTTTCAGAGTTCATGTTTTCACAAAATATAGAGTTTGGATATTAATATAATGTTCAATTTCCTAACTCAAGAAAAATAATTCAATGAATTCTAGATTATTTTTTCGATAAAGAAAAGCTATCTAACGGTTTGCAGAACTGCCATCACTTCGATTTTCTCCTCTAAAGCGGTGCGTATTTAATGATGTACTTGCTAGTGCGAGTCACATACATTAAAATTGCACAAACTTTAATCTCCCAACCTATTTTAAAACGTAAAATTGTTTCCAAATCAGTAGAATATATTTAACATGTGCTGTCGTCCAACTTCAGCCATGTCCGCCTTTAAAAGTTTATATTGTGTTCCGAAACCGCCTCTTCATTTATTTTGTATTTATTTACACAAAAATGCATTCTTCAATATCATCATTATTTTCTGATTAATTTTAGATTTCCGAAAAAGCTATGAATCTCATGATAACTTTGACCGCGGTTCTGCAATTAGTTTTGGTGGTTTTGGCACAGATTCCGTCGTCTATTGAGAGCGATGGCACTTCTGATGGCATCCGCCTGGTTATGGAGAAGAGTTCGGGTAATTTAGTTTATTATCGTCAGGCTCGCGCTCTCGATGATGCGATAATCACATCCACAACAAATGGCGACTCTCACCGGCTTAGGAACAATCGTAAAATAAATAAGTCGCAGGAGCACTTCCAGCAGGTGCACAAATCGGGTTCTAGGAAACTAGTAGTTGCCGAAAATGGCAGTGCAGCAACACAAAACTCGCAACCGAAGCACAAACAAGGCCACAAAAACACTAATAAGCAGCAGCGTCAGGGAACCAAGCAGCAGCATGCACATAGCCAACACCACGGCGGCAAAAGAACAGGACCCAAGGCTAAGACGTCAAATAACGGTACGATTTGCTTGACTTATAATTTTAAAACTGAAATTTATTATGTTCTTGATTTTTAACAGGGTCGGGGTCTTCGACCTGTCGTTACGCTAAGAGCGCTTGGTCAAACTGCGATGACAAAACCAACGTACGCACGCGAGTTTTATCTCTAAAAAAAGGAGAGCAAAATTGCTTGCCAACTCGGACAATACAAAAGAAGTGCAAGAAAGGTGGGTGGCGGTAATATTTTTTTTACACAGCATTATATAGCATCCCCAAAAGTTAGACGGAATTCTCGTATAAAGTATATAGCATCCCCAAAAATATGTGCCTTCAATCGAATTGCCCTTTTTGCCGCAGCACATGTCCTCCAATTACTATAATTGTGCTAAGTCCTGTTGCTATTTGTTTTTTTTCTTCATTACCGCGCAATGCCTTTTTTTTCGAGAAATACTGCATTTCCTGTTCTTAACAATGGAGAAAATGTCCATTCACCGTAGCGACTTCTGTTCATGGCCACACAGTTTTAGAAAATCTTTTACAAATTTTATTTTCCCGTTGGGTAGGCTGTCGTTATGATAAGGGTACTTGGTCGCAATGCAACGATGGACACATGACCAGAGAGGATAAGTTACAAGCAGAGGCAGTCGGTGATAGTGACCAGAACTGCGATCCTGTGCGTACTGTCAGCAAAAAGTGCAAGGCAAATTCGGGTGCAGGAAAACAACACGGACATCGTGGCACAAAAGAACGCAAGGGTAAGGACACACAGAAAAAAAGTGTCATTCATTTAACTACAGTTCTATGTTTCACAGGTGACCGACGCATTTTGTCTCACAATTAATAATCGTTTGGAATTAATCATTTTATACACTGCTAAAAAGATTTATAGCTTTTTGTAAGCGGTTTTTTTTAGATATTAGTTCGTAAAGTTTTGTAAAAACATTCAAAACATGGATTAATTCAAAGCCTTTAGGGGGGTTCTTTTTATTTTTTTCATTTTTTAATGGTCTTAACAATTTCTATAAAGATGAGGTAATCTTATATCCTTGGTAAGTCCAGAAACCAAATTTTGCACAAGATGTTATCACCAATCTCTTGTTTAAAGTACATCGCGTGGTGCGATTAAATGATTTAAATAAACAAGAATGTAAGCAAGAACCAAGAACAGAATACCCTCTACAATGATATAAAAATGTTTTCAGAAAATTGAATGTAAATATATGCGTATAATCCATAATAAATGTAATGCTGTATTTAATATTTTGTGGAAGAGACTAATTTGCCGCTAAAAATAGGGGAGCTCCCGAACGTAGACTACATTTTAGATAAATTAAGTTGGCTCTGGATTTATTTGCCCAATTGGATATCTGCCACAAAATTTCATTAAAATAGTTCGGACAGAAGAAAAGTTTTTACTCTTCCTTGGCTGGTCAATACAAATATGTAAAATTTTATAGTGGCTTATAATTAAACTGAATACCGAAAAATTGATCGACAATTTGGGCGTCGTATAAATGTACAAGCTGCCAATGTCTTCAATAGCCATCGTACAGCTGTTTTATAGATACCCGTCGTTTGGTCGCAAGCTTGTTAATACATCAAGGGCGTTGACCTTTGGCTTATGGCGCACAGCGGTCGGCACACTTAAGGAGGTGGCCGACGAACCGGCAAATCCTGATGAAATTTACGGGGCGTGGAAAAAGCCAGACTGCAGTTTGTGTTTTGGATTCCAATCTTGCCTACATTGCTGCAACACAAAAGCGTCTTTGGTATTCGTTGCGCTACGGCGCTACTCGACTTATGAGAAAACGTCTACGCAAATCCTATCGAAGCTCTTTCCCCAAACCTTTGCTGAGCTCAACGACGAGGAGAGTCGGAAGCGTCGCTTCAACTGTCACTAATGCAGGAATACCTAGCCCGGACCTGATATTCGGTGAACCACTTTCAACGATTTATACAGGAGCCGTCAAGTCAGAAGCTACTTCCTGAACCTCTTCAGGCTCCTTACGTGCAGCCGCCTTATACCCTGGTCCTTGAGATTAAGGACGTGTTCATACATCCTGATTGGACCTACGAAACCGGCTGGCGCTTTAAGAAGCGACCCGGCGTCGACATATTTCTTAAAGAGTGTGCTAAGTATTTTGAAATCGTTGTTTACACGGCGGAGCAAGGAATTACAGTGTTTCCACTGCTCGACGCGCTTGACCCAAACGGTTTTATTATGTATCGTCTGGTTCGTGACTCAACACACTTTGTTAAAGGCCATCACGTGAAGAATCTTGACAATCTGAACCGAGACTTAAAGCGTGTGGTGGTCGTGGATTGGGACAGAAACTCCACCAAGTTGCATCCTTCAAATTGTTTCTCGATCCCGCGATGGTCGGGGAACGACAATGACACGACTCTTTTTGATTTTGTGTCGTTTCTGAGTGTCCTGGGCACCAGTGAGATAGACGATGTCCGGGAAGTGCTGCAGTACTATAATAAGTTTAGTGACCCCATATCTCAGTTCCGGGAAAACCAGCGTAAGCTTTGTGAGCAAATGCAGGCTGATGAACTGGAAAATAATAGCAATTTTTAAAGAAGCTAATTGAGTTCAACTAATTTTGCAGTTGATTGTCGCTCAATTTTCTCCCCAACTTTTTCAATCCACTTGTTATTGTTATGGTTAGGATTCTCATATGTACATCGTTTTTCTAGTTCACCGCTCCACATTTTGGTCGCGTTATCAATGTAAGCCATGTTTACACCCTTTATACGTTAATCCATCTTTTAATTTTAAGATTTATTTAAACATTTTTCATAAAAAGTTCTTAAAGTTTTCGAAATTATTAGTTTGATGTTTTATTACATTTTATTTTTTAATAATATGAACAGAGCCAGTTAATAAGTTAAAATTTTGACAATATCTAAAAAACGCTTTAAGATAAATATAGTCGTGTTTTAAATTTTTATACAATATACAAAGAAAATAAAAATTTCTATTGCACTGCAGTTAAGATTTATTTGGCTATAACAAACCTTAGTTTTTTATCGGGCCCAAAGTCGTTTAGCTATTTTCAGCACATTGAATTCGAGATCTGGTAACATTGCCAGCAACAATCGATAGTTCGGCGCTTCCTTCTGCCAATCGGCCTCAGAGAGAAAACTTTAAATGAAAATATAAAAATAAAGCACGCGGTTGAATCTTATAAATCGAATAATGGCAAGCAGGTCGCACTTGTCCAGTTTCGAGCTATTCGCTAGCTCCTTTCCAGTGATTTGATGAACTGTGATCTCTCCCATGACGCTCGACCCCGTGCCAGTAGCTATTTTGTTGTCTATTTACGGTAGAGTCCATCAGTGGACTGGAGCACACCAACAAATGCAAGGCCCTGAGGTGAGAAGTTCCAGCTGTTTATCGGTACTTTGTCTCCTTTCATCCAGTGGTTTCTGGTGATCTACGAAGGAGCCAGCTTCACCTTCCGTGAAGATTATATAAAAGAGCGGCTGGCTTTTCGGGGCTATCTATATTGTCAGGTCACCGAGAACCTAATGAAGTTCATGGTAAAGAAACTGTTGATGAACTTTTTAAGAGAAACCAGAAAAAAATCTGTCATTGGCTTCGGACAGCGAAAAAAAGCAAGACCTGGCTTTTGATGGCAATCGATGCTCCTTCACGGCCGAGATCAGCGTGAAACGAAATACTTCTTATAAAAATAATGATATGGTCCTACCAGGGCCTTTAGATTACCCAATTTTATGGCTTGCATATTTGCCTAAAACCTAAAACTTTCTACAAAGTGGAGGACTACGTTTTGCTTACCCAGCCCTTTTTTTTCAATTTAAGCATATTTTCCTTCTCCCATGTTGACTTAAAGAAAAAAAATATTTTTTTTATCTTTTAAAAAGAATTAAATTAATTATTTACATTTTTAATGTTGTGTTTTTTTTTGTTAAGTAACACACAGGACATCTCGAAAGATTTTACAAAAAAATTATAAAAATAAGTTAAAAGGTCCCTGCAGCTGAAATTAAAAGACAAATAAAAAATGTGTATTTTGTTTTAAACACTCGCGTACATTTAGAAACATAAACTGACGTTAATGAACTGGCTACTGATAGAGGTTTGTCCCATATAAACCGGTAATGAACTTCGAACATGTTCGCTGCAGTGCTTGTAGATTGACGTATTTTAGTCCTGGTATACGCCCCCTTTGTATACCCTTGCAGGTATAAGTACCCTCATATATGTACGCAAGTAAATCATTTAATGTTTTCAAGAATATTTAATTTTTAAAATAGCTGCAAGGGTATATGAACTTCGGCTTGCCGAAGTTTCCTTCCTTTTATGTACCCTCATATATGTACGCAAGTAAATCATTTAATGTTTTCAAGAATATTTAATTTTTAAAATAGCTGCAAGGGTATATGAACTTCGGCTTGCTGAAGTTTCCTTCCTTTTATGTACCCTCATATATGTACGCAAGTAAATCATTTAATGTTTTCAAGAATATTTAATTTTTAAAATAGCTGCAAGGGTATATGAACTTCGGCTTGCTGAAGTTTCCTTCCGTTTATGTTCCAGACTGGATTTGTTTGGCCTATCCTCATCGTGACCAAGTGATTGTGTCTCTGTCTGCAAGAGATTTGAGTTATACATGCGAAAGCCCAGATCCGTCCATTTTCTCAGTCCGTTTCTTAAACTGATCATAATATTCCTGGACTGACAGGTTGTGCCAATTATAAGCAATAGTGTTGTTAAAAGTATACTAAAATTATACAAATAAATAGTAATTGTGTTAATGCCGGCTAGAGCCTGTTTATGTTTGTTGAACGATATCGGTAATCAGAGTATGGAAGATACGTTCCGTGACTGTCGTCACAAATGCTTTGCTAATATGCTATGAACAGGAATATGCAGGAATATGCAAACAGGAGTCGCATGACCACGCAAGCTCAGCAACATGTTGGTTTCCTTAGACGGTGTGCGTGAACACGTGCCAAAATAAACGGTTAAGTCGTTAAAGGAACACATACTCGAGGTAGAATTGTTTCCACAATCAACAACTACGCACTTTACACCACTAGGTGAGTCATGCGCAGTGTCGTTAGCGGACAGCGGAACGTACTGATTTGAAAACCTTAGCCAATCGTACCGATATGTAAGCAGCGGTAATGGCTAGGCATTAATATTAATAGTGTATGAATTTTGGGATTTTTTTGTCCTTTTGTTTTAAAACATTTAATTTGCTCATTTCCGAAAGGACACAACCTTTCCATCGCGCGTAGCCTCAACAAGTAAGGTCTTTTGGTTCTCATGTCAGACATGCACCAAGTGCCCGATTTGCAATTCTGTTGGTCGAGATATAGGTATACTGCGAATAAGCGTGGAAACGTCAGAATCAGGCTATTCAGAGCGCAGGCGTCAGGTTTGTTTGGCACGCTGTTTGGTGCTCTTTCACTTGGACTCTGCATCCTTTAAAGAAATGCACAGCATCCTTATGAGCCGTGGGCAAGAGCAATTTTCTCGTTCACGAGCACAAGCTACTCGAATCGCGAGCGCAGACACTTCAGTTTGGTTTTGACGTAACGGACGGAACGTTTAAATATCGCGTCTCTCAGTTGTACGAATTTAGTGCCATTGCACACCATAGGGCACTTGGAAAATACTACAAAACGCATGAAAGTGTGTGTATACAAGAATAAATGGTTTCGATTGTGTATAAGCGACAAAATATTGCAAATATTCCATAATAACAATGAAATTAAAGCAATGAAATTAAATTATTGCCCAAAAGGTTTTCAATGTGTAGCAAATTCTCATAATGACTATATTTAAATAAATATGACTATATTTTAATAGTTGTTGTAACTTAATTCTGTTGCTCCTGAATGTGCAGTTAATAATTAATAACAATGCAGGTCCAACTCAACCCGCACTTATTCGTTTTCTATTTGCTTACTTCTTCATGTATGCATATGTTTGCCTCACCAACCTAAGTAAAATTAGCCGAGAGGAAGGTTTGAATTTAATGCATTGGCTCCGCATCCTTCACAGCCACACCCTAAAATGTGTAGGTTTTCATTCTCTTGGGGAAAACCCACAACCAAATGAAGTAGCATGCCGATACCAGTACAGATGAATAAATTAAAATATTTATTTTATGAAATGGCTAAAATGTGTTTAAAATACATGCCCACCTTCACAGTTTAAATAAAGAAAATAAATAAATAGCTGAGTCATAAGCCTCAAGATATTTTTTATTCGAAAAAAGTCATCCTTTTCCCCTGAGCTTGATGCCCATATCCCATTATCGGGGAACTGAGATTTTAATAAATTATGAACTTTAACCTAACTGCAGTTTTCAAAGGAAGTGGGCTTATCAATCACAGCAGGTTTTGGTAGGTTTGTCCGAAGTCTATAAAGAATGACCACTGAGACCTATTCTGACTTGACCTTTGAGCGAGGGAAGGTGTCAAAAAGGGCGTTGAGACCAAAGCTATTAAAATTAACAGATGTTACGATACCGCACCGCAGTCGAAAAAAGAACAAAGTGAAGGTAAATATGCTCAAACTTTTGTAAAATCAATACAACTCCTATCTTAAATTGTTTTCAGACGAAAGTCCGTTCAGTTACTTCAGTGCGCGAGAGAATTTACGATGATCCGGCTTACACCGAGGATATAAGCCACTTGGCGAATCCCATGCGCCGCAATAGCATTTCCGGGAAGCCTTTATCAGAGCACAAGGTGCGGTCTGACACTGGCAACCAGCCTTCATCCAGCAGCCGGCCGCCAAAGAACCAATTTATCAAGGAGTTCCATCAATATATGACCGAAAAGCAGAGCAAATCCAAGGCCAGTGCAGCCTTAAATTACGAAAGTGATTCGAGCAGCACAGACAATGAGCCGCTGGTGCCAATCAAAGGCAGCATGACTCGCCGAGTGCGCAGTCTGGAGCGCAGTCTGGCCGCCACTGCCTCAGAAAGAGTCGAAAAAAAGGGAACACAGAAGCGCAACTCAAAGCAAAAACGGAACCTCAGCCTTGACAATAGTCGCCAGTTACCTCCAGGTCATCCGCAACGGGAAACGGAAATTGCGGGGAAGCATGGTCACGATTTTGATATTCGACTTCGCAAGGAACGTAGTCGAAATCACTACGGTGACGTCGCCACAAAAGTTACTCCAACGGAAGTCAGCGAACTAGATGAAGGGTACTCTGCACGCAGTTCGGCTCAAGACTCTGCCGTCACAGTACCTACAGACTCAGCCGCCGAAGCGGCAAAGGTTGCAATTGGCAAACGCTTCCTGCGCGGCGAAATTGGAATAAAAAGCTTTAATTACTATCTGCTCCAGGAAGGCTTAAAGAGTTCAAAAAAGTTAGGGGACAAACCCCGAACCCCTGCTGGTCCCAAGGCAGAAAAACGACATTCACGCAGCGAGGAGAACATCTACGAAGAGATTTTCTTCAAGGAAACTCCCAGCATATTGACCTCGTCGGTCACTGGTGTTGCATCCGGCATAGCATTGTCCGTTGCCTCGGCCATGTCTGACAAAGATTTTCACAACCAGCACCCACAAAAAAGTGGGGCTCATCCAAATGAAATGAGCGCAACCAGCGACGAAAACGCATTTGGAGACTGCGAAATCTGCATGGAGCAGTGCAGCAAAGACAACTGTGAGTACTGCTTGGCTCCCGTGGAACAAGTTGGAGGTGGAAAGTTAAAAGCGGTCCAGCATCAGCAGGAACAGAACGTCAGCCAGAGACACCAACAAGAGGGCACTATAGAAACCCTTACATCTTCTACTGTTGATGCTGGGGTCAACGTGCCGGCCGCACATATTTTGGAGTTTCAGTCATACAACCCCAATAATCCAGGCGTGTACAAAATCGAGACGACCCCCGTGGCCATAACAGGCGACTATAATCCAATACTTCAGTTCCAGCAGTCGTCAGCGACTACGTCCACATCAGCTACCACCACGCCCAGCGAGCGGCAGCAGCTGCAGCAACAAATTTATGGTGGATACTATCTTCCGCACCCCCACCAAAGGCCGTGCCAGCAGCCGATTGCTAGCAATCCGCTGCCAAGTCACTATGCTGTGGGTGCCAGTATGCTCTTCGCCCAGGTTGCCGGTGTCTCTACTGGTTGTGCGACTCCACCGCGCCGACCACAACATCAGCACTTCATCGTGGGATGCCAGAATGGAGGAGGGTCGGTAGCAGGCGCGGCTTCTTTGCAGCGGCTTAACACGAGGTCTTCTTCCTCTAGCGACTCGCTGCCCTACCACAAATACAATACCATGGCGCGGCTCGAGGCAAACGTGTTCGCGGCACCGGCTCCTGGAGACCTTTACTATGCAGTCAGTGGAACGCAGCCGCTGCATCCGCTGATGTATGCTGCCAACAGACCGATTGGAGGGTCCCAGATATTGGTTGACCCCTACGACCCTCAGATATACAAGAGCGACTCAAAGGCCTCTATTCTCAGCGAGTTCTCCCTTCGCAGCAGCGATAACTCCCAGCGTTACGCTCGGCATCCTCATCGGCGACATGGCGGACGGGTCAGTGATTCGAGTCTCTTTTCGGTGTACTCAAACTCTGGCCAAAGGCGGTACTTTGGTAGCACAGAAAGCAGGTTCGGATACGATTGTAGGCGCTGTAGCCTGGATGGGGTTATCGGAATAGGTTCCGCGGCTGGAGTGCCCATAGCAGCTTCCGATAAGTGCAGCTATTCCGACAACTGTCGGTACGAATGTCGAAATTGCGATTGTTCGTCCAATTACTTCAGTTCGGACTTTGATGATGTGTACGGGTCCATTGTGCGTGGTGGAAGCAGTGGCATACCGCGCAAGACTGCGGCAGGAATACTACCATCTAGTGCTAAGGACGATACCGTAGAGCACCAAGAAACCGGGCCACTATCACTGGATCAGCAGCAATACGCAGCTCCTCTGGATCTAAAACAGAACAAATACGCCCAGGATTTTTTTAAACATGTAAACGACGTGAAACGAAGCATTTATCAGTCTGAAATGCAAAGAAACAATAGCTTGGAACCTACGAGACGGGGTCCAAGAGCCAGTAGCAACACGAGCAGCAATTCCAAAGCAAGTCCCAAACGGGCCATTTCCCAGGAACTCAGACAAGATCCCGTAGTCACTACGCTTCCGCTGAGCAGGGGGCGACCGACTGCAGGAGTGAAGCCCACGCCTGCACCAAGAACGAGTATACAGGGGCAGACCCCATTACCAGATAGTTCCGTGCCAAGTAAGTGATACCTTCAAGACATAACTATTTGTACACATAAAATATCAAATTTTTTAGAAGACCCAATGCTGTGTAAGCGTAAAAATCAACCGACTAGTCGGAGGGAGTATCCTTCTCTGGACCGACTCGTAGCGTCTTCTACGGGAACTATTCCCAAAAGGAACAACCACCGGACCATAGCGGACAACGGCTTACAAAGCCTAAAGCTAGCTCCGAAGGCTAAATCTTTGCAGACTCCTGATGCAGAGAAAAAAAATGTAACCATTGATGCGCAGTTGCCCTTACCCCTGCCGAAACGGCACCATCGCATAAGCGGACCGAAGGCACATCAAAATCTACCTGGTGCCAGTACACGCCGAAAAGACATTCCGGCGCCTCCCCCGCCTTCTCCTGCTACATATTCCGATCTTCAGGAGCTTAAGGCCAATATGGAGGGTCTTCAAGACGATACCAAGTCGCGAAGCTTGGAAAGCGAAACAAACGATCTGGCGGCAGCCGATACGTCAAAGCAGTCAAAGAAAAAAGTCTCAAGCGTTCCGTCTGATAGAAACCTGGAACCCACAACAAGTGTACCAGATGCAAGTGCGGCGGAGACTGATGATAACGATGTATTTTACGACGCACACAGCGAGGACTCTGGCGGTGGCTTCTTGCCCTCAGAAGCGAATGACTTTTCAAAAAAGGTGAGCGAGAGGATTTTATTTGGAATTTATTTCCTCAAACATTGCAAATTGAATTTTTTTAGGTTTTTACCACACTTATTATAGAAACTATTAAATCCATTGATTGGACAAAGACTTTGTTTTTTTGTAAATCCGTGAAGAAGATAATTTAAAAATTCAGTTTTCAGTTATAAGTGTTTTGAAAAATAGGATTATAGTGTCACAATTTTAAACCTTAAATTGCTATACAACTTGAAAACCGAAAGTGATATAATAAAAACTGCCATTTATAAAGTATTTTTTGTGGACAAAAAAATCAAAAATTAATGATTTTTTTAATTATAATTAATTACTAGTTATAATAATTGTTTTAAACATTTTTTTTCTGCAACAAAAATGCGCTTAAGTTTGGATACCTATTTTTGTGCAGCATTTTTGAAATAGACTGATTTGTTAGCTATTAACAAAATAAAAAACAAGAAAGAAAGCAAACTTCGGCAAGCCGAAGTTCATATACCCTTGCAGCTATTGCAAGAATTAAACATTTTGAAAACATTACAATTTTGATTTACTTGCGTATATGTTTAAAAACATTGATGATTTGCAGCTCAATTATTTGATAGTTATTATATATATTTTTATTATTTCTTTGGTAGCTATATGACATAGACGTCCGATTTTGCTAAAATTTAAACCATAATTCTGAAATATTTAACCATTGCTATATGTCGAAGAACTAAACAAAAAATTGAAAAACAGAAAAGTTATAGTTTTTTTTCATTTATTTTTCCGATTTTTCCTATGGGAGCTATATGCTATAGTCGTCCGATTTTGAAGAAATTTAAACCGTAATTCTGAAATATTCAACCATTACTAAATGTCGAATAACTAAACAAAAAAATTTAAAAACAGCAAGGTTATAATTTTTTTCATTTATTTTTCTGATTGTTCCTATGGAGCTATATGCTATAGTCGTCCGATCCGGCTCGTTCCGACTTATATACTACCTGCAATAGAAAGACAACTTTTGGGAAAGTTTCATGCAGATAGCTTTAAAACTGAGAGACTAGTTTGCGTAGGAACGGACGGACAGACGGACATGGCTAGATCGACTCTCCAAGTTATGCTGATCAAGAATATATATACTTTATAGGGTCGGAGATGTCTCCTTCACTGCGTTGCAAACTTCTGACTGAAATTATAATACCCTCTGCAAGGGTATAAACATGTGCGTCTTTTTTTTGTTTATTAAAAAGAAAATACAAATTAAAATGGGAAATTGGGGTTTGTCGTGATTCGCTTTATAACATAAACAATCTTTTTCAAGAATGCTGCATAAATAAATTAACCGATTTGGGCGAAATTTTTTATCAAAAAAATATCGCTAAAAAAGTATTATTCCTTTTTGAGTTATTTTTTGTATTTTTTAATCAAATTAATAAATATTATTTACGGTCTTTGCTTTGAAATACATACCATACGTGCATATATGATATAAAAAATTAAAAAATTGCTTTATACAACAAAATAGTATAAAAGAATGATACACTAAATACTAGGTTTTGGGTACAGATTCCATTTATAAATACTTAAAACTCCTCCCTAATTGCCGGACATATGTACATACGTAGCAAAAAACGACTGGACGCGTAGTGTATTTATAATTAAAGATGAAAATACATCAAGTGAACATGAAGATAAATAAGATTTTAATTAAACGATATCTTTCCAGAGTCCGTCTCACATGACGACATCCAAACAGGCCCTGGAGGACATCATTGCTAATGAGAATCGCAAGGCCGTCAATGACAGCGATGTGGCGCATTCTGCCAAAGATGACGATTGCCCACCTTTAGTGGACCCTGCGCTAGAGAGACATGAGCAGGCGTCCATGGACACGGCAGCGAGCGCAATCGGCGAAAAGCCAAGCAAAACAAAACACAAGAAGACTCCAACAATCACCTCCGGCCAACATGTTGGTCGAACATGTTTGGAGGAGCAACGCACCGTCGCACCACCAACAAATGTTGCTCCCGGAATCTCAACAACCAACAACGCTGGCAACACTAGCGCCAGCAACAGCGCAGTCGAGTTGGAGTTTAGTTGCAAGACGGGCAACACGGACTGCGCAACGACAGCGGTAGAGCACAGGTACGCGACTTGATCCCTGTGCCGCAGCCTATAATTATTAGCTTAAAGTGCCAGCAACTTAAACTTTATCGTGGCTAAGGTGAAAATTCATGTGAAAACATGAAGCACGGTAAGCACTTGTTGTTCGTGGGTGCTATTAAGATTACCGGAACTCTCGTCAAGTGCATGTCATGGGCCTCATGCTACCAGACAAAAAGTGCCTTCGGCGATAAAGTGAAATAATTAGTGAACCCAAACAATTTACAACATTTAACCTGTGTTTCGATTTCAAAGTGCTTTATTTAGGCTACTGAAGCTATTTGCAAACCGCGAGAGGGCAATCGTATGCGCAGCAGCTCCTGAGAGTGCTGGTTTGCGCCATATTTGGTATTACCTTGTGTTAGCCTCCCCCTAGAAACTTTATTTTTAAAGCTGCTGAAGACAGAGGTAAACTGGTATTAGCATTTCGCGAACGCGACCCTTCGATTGACCAGTGAGCAGATCAAGTTCGTAGGAACGTGCAATAAAGGCGTTATTAGAAACCTCTATCCCGACATTTGTGAAATTTTTTCGGTGTGTCAACTAGACCACCAAGTGCCGCAAGCATTTACAAAGGCTGAGAGTATCAATTTAAAAAAAAGGGCCGCGCGAAATGCTCATTAAATATATCCCTCCGTATGGATATACTCTGTTTACTCTCAAGAGGTTATGTGATTAATCGACGAGCGTGACTTAAAGCAGTAAAGCTGTAGACTGTAACCAGCTGGTAAAATTGAAGTAATTTGATTACCAAAGGACAGTGAGTGGACGAAAACCTATGCTTTTATGTTTGACGACATCACCCTACGTGTCAGCACCTGCTTGTAAATGTTAGAAGGATAGAGACATTTTTTATTATCAATCTAAGAACATCGTTTTAGTAAAAATAAAGATTGCCAAGGCCAGTTTTATGTATTCATTTATATTAAAAGTGTATCCAGCCTGATAAATTAATAAACGACCTGCCAACCTGCATTACATTTGTTAGATTGGTTGAATTTGCCCCCCTGTGGTTAGAGTGCTACTAAATTTGCTAAAATTTGGCAATCAATATTTTTTTTGCAAAATGATTCGCCTCCTGGCCCTCGGCAGCGTTCACGGAAAATTCTCAATACGAGACCAGCGTACATACATAAATCAATTTTGTCCTTTGTTGTGTGGGTACTGTGTTGGTATTCAATCATTTACCAATAAATTTATGTGAGAACACCAATATGTGAGTGCGATACACACAACCGCACTTTTCTAAATTTTTTGAAGTTTCGAAATAAGATAATAATAATTTTATCTCATCCTGGTTTTTTTTTTAACTTTTAGGTACTTGTTTTATTCCGAGTCATCCTAGGTGTAAATTTAAAGCGCAACTAATGAAAACAAGTTCAACTTAGAAATCATTGCAAGAGCCCAGGCAGGTGAGAAAAGCAAACCATGGCCAACGACAAATCAGAAACCGCCGGCCCGCGCTGTTACACTTTGGGCAAGTATATTCTGAAATCGGGGACGACCTTCATAACCTTCGTGCTGAAAATAAAACAGTTTGTTGTCATTTTGCAATTTAACTACGGCAAATTGCATGCAGCCTACCATTCGATAATTATAAGGCTAATCATCATGAACACGGTGCTTACAAATATGGTATTCAAAATGCGAAACTCGTTTCCTATGGTTGCAACTTCATTTGGTCATTGGCTTTTAGTCAATGCCGCTGCAGTTTTACCAACAGTACCACGTCTTGCGGCACCAAACAAGCAGCTTCTTGGCTAGTAAAATGGCTAGTTGGTCTGAACGCAGTCGAAAGTGCAAGTTGTCTAACAGGTATGCAAGATAATGCAATCGATTTACTAGTACCCGTAATCGTCCTCGCCTTCGTCCTGCTCTGCTCTGCTGAAGACAAGTTCGGCATAACTTGGTTGGAAACCGGTTTTATGATGCATACCTCAGAAGCGAGCGTACTGTTTTGTGTTTTATTTACTATCCGAACCGGCAATCACTGCCATTTGATAGACAGCGAGTTTTGCTAAAGAAATGTGCAAACATTTTTTAATGGAAACTTTCGTCCTCTTTAATGCTGTTTGTAACAAAAAAAAAGGGATAACTTGTTTTAAATAGCTGGGTGAGTCTCCTGTAGACTTCCCTACAGATCGTTTTTAAATTTCGGTGACAATTTTGTTTACTTTTGATAAGCATTAACAGCCAAGTTGATATATTTATGTCCATTTGTTTCTAAATCGCTTGTGAGCTTAGTTTTTGTTTTTGTTTTAAAAATACAAATCAGTTGAACCCCCAAAAATGTCTGCTGCGAGAAATTACATTTGGGACACAGGCTAAACAATTACCATATGTTGTTATTAAAAGACTGATCAGTTTAAATCACGATATAATGAAAGCATGGTCATTAAACTAATTGGAAATTAAACACACGCTCTTAGATATGCCTCTATGAATCTTGAATAGCGTAATTACGAGTGCAAGTACGGAGAAAAGAGCGATCAAAAGCTAGCAGAAATTAAAACTCTTCCCAAACAAATGTGTGTGCGAAGATGTAATTAGTATTATATTGCAAGCATTTTGTAAGAGTGAGTGTCCTGCTGGACGTCGTGTTATGTGAAACTAGACGAATGTGGTTTAATACAAAGTGATAAAATGCTTTTTAAAATACTAGCAACACGTTTATATGAACTTTCAGCGGATGTTATACATTTTCAAAAGGCTTCTTTTTATGGCAGTATATAAGTCAAAATGGACCTGTTTTGACTGGTGCCATGAAACAAATGAACAAAAATTAAAGCTTTGTTCTGCTTTTCCTTAAATTTAGGAAAATATAGTATGTTGAGAAATGCAAATTAAGACAAACTGATAGATGTTAATTAAAACAAGAAAGGAAGCAAACTTCGGCAAGCCGAAGTTCATATACTCTTGCAGCTATTGATAAAATTAACTATTCTTGTTTATATGTTTAAAAGCATTGAAGCTATGATGATTTGCAGCTCAATTATTTGATAGTTCCTATGGCAGCTACATGATATCGTTATCCGATTTTAATAAAATTAATTAGTCAAAAAGAATTTCTAAAAAAAAATTTCTAAATAGAAAGACAACTTTTGGGACAGTTTCATGCAGATAGCTTTAAAACTAAGAGACTAGTTTGCGTAGAAACGGACGGACGGACAGACGGACATGGTTAGATCGACTCTCCTAGTGATGCTGATCAAGAATGTATATACTTTATAGGGTTGGAAACGTCTGCTTTACTGCGTTGCGAACTTCTGACTGAAATTATAATACCTTCTGCAAGGGTATAAAAATGTACGTGGGCTGAATGTTGGCAGTGCCCACGAACAAAAAGTCTTCAGAACATTACCTTATAAGGGACGTTCATGTGGATTTATCCAGTTCTCGAAATTAAGACAAGGCCTCTATAATCTAGGGTTCCATGTAGACTTGTGTGTTGCTTATACATTATACATTAAATGAAAATAATTATAATTATATTTGGACCTTGGATGGCACCAAAGATTTAATTGCAAGACTGACCAGAAGAACTCAATGATCTAGCGACTCTTTTAATCCGGCTTAGTGCAAATTTGTACAAATACCAACGCTACCAAATTTGGACTAGGCGTTATAACGCCTACACACAACAAAATTTGAAAAACCGAGGCAACAAATCGAAGTTGATGTTTGTTGTTAGCTTTTGACCGTTTTGGAAAGACAAGTTCTTAAGTGATTATATTTATATGTCGAAATTGGAACGTTAGAGCTTAACATATTTCTTTAGATTTGCGTTCTGAGCCTCTTATGTTTTCTCATCTTTACTTAAGTGTATTTCGGCCTATGAGGCATCTAAGCCACTTAAAAGTTATACAACAACATCAAAGATACATGCGGATCAGAGGAAGTGAAATGCCGGCCAAAGCTTCAGGGGCACACTTATTAGCTAGAGTCGCAAGATAAGGACTCTTTCGGAAACGCCCGCCTAAAGCTGTCTCGAACCGGCAGGCAGATATATATATATATACAGCAGAAAAGTAATGCAGCCTAACGGTTGATGTGCTAATCATTAAACTGTCATTGACACTTTTTAATATATGTGTATAACATACTTGTTACCCTAATTTGAAGTCACGATGTTTAGTTTATCTTATGAATGACACCCACCATGAACCTCGCATGACAGTTAAATGTGCTATTAGGCGTGTTTTTGTGCGTTTGTCTTGTTTTTCGCGTCTGGTTTTCAAACTGGTTTAAATTTAAATTTGCTCCCACCAACTATTTAGATCAGGGTCAATCGTTTACAATTTTTGGACGCTTTTCAATAGATCTAGACAACCAAAATATGGGCTTTGGTGCCTGCGGCGCCCTCCCAGCCATCAGTAAAAGTGGCCGTGGCAGCAATGAGACAAACCACTTCCTGCTGGTGAAACGGGTCATAAATGCAGTGCCAGCGCTTGCTGCTGCACAGGCGAGTGCTGAACCGTGTTTCCAGACATTGAACCACTGTTCGAGCACCGGCATTGGGCTGGGCTCGATTGTCCTAGCCATTGGGCCCGGCAGGTTGCTTGTACTGTGCAGTTTTCAGTGCTCGATCCGATAAGTGCTTCCTAGTCAATACACTCTCATCACCTATTTACTCATCGCTGCGGAATATTTCGGATTAACAACATTTTTAAACCTCTATACAAACATCTATTACAGTGGTCAGACACCTGATGTACCTGCAAGTGCGACAGCCACGCATTTAATAACACTGATACGCCAGGACTACGCCTGTCTCGACTCCAGCGAAGCACAGTCGGACGATAGCCACCTGACACGCGATTCCATTACCCGTGAGTCCCAGAACGATGAGCTCTCCTCCTCGACTCACGAGAAACTAGACGTCAGCACTCTTCCGCTGCCCGCTCTCCCCAAGCGTCGTCGCACTCGCTCCCGTACCAGTCCATCGAAGCATGTGCACCAGCGACAGCAGCAGCAGCTTCATGAAGCCATCGAAAATGCCAATGCTGTCGATGAAAGGTCTGCAGCAGCAATCCCACAGCCAGTCAAGCCACAACTGCGACCAGTTACTCCAGATCAAGAAAAGCCAGAGCTAAGCCCGCCGAAAAGCAACGCAGCTGCCAACCAGCAGAAACAGTCACATTTGCAGCAGCAGCAGAAACACCTCTCTGCCTTCCAGCAGTACGTTGCAAGGCGACGAGAGAGTCTAGAGGCATCCAACCGTTGTTTCAACGAGAAGCTGGAGGCACGCAAAATGCACTACCACATGGGCAGCAGTGCCGTCAATGAAAACCCTGCCGGCTCTAACGGGATGCCCACGTACCTTTTCGGGGAACACTACCATGGGGTCACCGGCTCTGGGCGGAAGTCCTTATCGCCCTCCACCACCAAAGAAGAGATATTCCTAAACAAGTCCGGCTGGGTGCAGGTCAACACGAAGCGTGGGAGTCACAAGGATGACAGCAGTAGTTATCGCCGGCTCAGCTATGGCCAACAGAATGGAAGAACTCTTTTCCCGGAAAGTGGACGAGGGCGCAGTGCGGCGCGGTCGATTCCTCCAGACCATGGGCGTCGCTTAGACCTGGCACGGCAGTCTTTTATTCAGCAGCATCAGCAACAGCAGGCCAACAAAGGCATAACCGAGTCAAAGTTTGTCGGCTCCAAAGTGGAAGAGCTGATTCAAAAAAACGAAGCTCGACTAAGCGGCTTTTCATCACGGGACCCTGCGCTCCGTCCGGGCTATCGGATTATAGATCCCCAACTAGCGAACATCCTCAACGAGCGGCCAGGTTTCTTACCAGTAAAAAGCGCCAAAGATCTGGACTCCCCAATAACTCCGATTCTCTCGCCACCACCCGCTTTCCAGGACAACAGCCGGGGTGGGCGCCATCCGGACCGCCGCAAGCCAGTTCGCCAGCAGGACCCGCTGCCGCTTCCTGTGCCGCTCCAGTCGCAGACCCAGTTGGGCACTCAGCATCCAAATCCTGGTTCCAGCAAGGGCATGGTATTCTCTCGCAGTTTCGAGTACGACACTCGCCGTCCAACGCCCACCAACAGCTATGTAGACACGTTTTCCCGCAGTTTTGATGGAAATTTATCAGAACGTCCACTCAACCTGGCTGTGATATCAGGCCAACGGGAACGGTCGCCAAACTTCAGCACACTGACCGGCAACTCACCCAATTATCTAACGAAGCGGGAGAGCGGCGGCGGCAGCAGTGGCTCTCTTCAAAGCCGCGACAATTCACCCAAATATCTGCATCCACAAGCGACAACGGCCTACTTGAATACCGCTGTCAAGGAGGCGCCTCCTGTTTACAACGTAGCCACCGGCAGTCAGGCCAAGTACTCCCCGCGTTCCCGTCACGAAAGGACTGCTGAGCGTTCTAAGAGTCACGCTCTAGGACGTTCCCGCAAGTCCCAGTTCAACCGCGTGGGCAGCGCGGGACCTCTGGCAGCACATCCCAACACACCCAATATAGGAGTCTCGCGTTTTCGCAGCTTTGACACGTCCAAGAGCCAGCGCCTCAATTCCTGTGACAGTGGTGCGAGATCAGGTCAGTGAAAAGCCTATTTTAAATACCAATAAGAAACTTCCGCCCTATCAAATTTAGGATAATAATTACTTAAGGAAAAATATCACATATCACCTGCACCATGTCCCTTCAAAAATTGTCTCCAAAAAAAGGTTTCTTGTGGGGTTAATGTATTTGAACTCATCGCCGATTATTAGGCGAATTAACATTAGCGTGAATGTTAAATATATGTGACACATTTTTTTTTTATCAGAAATCAAGTTGTTCGAGACCAATAGACGTAAGTGCGCCTCAGCTAAATTACAATTTATTTAACAGATCTTTCCAATGATGAGCTGGACAACGAGGATGGCGGCCTAAGCGAGTTTCTCTCTGCCGGCAGTCACAAGTTCCCCAAAGTCGGAACGAGTAGCGTCAGCATCTCGCCGTTTAAGGTCCAGCGCCAGCGGTCTCTTACACCAGATCGCAACGAATCCCATAGCTCATCCAGCAGCCTGCGGAAGCAAGGATCGTTGACTCCCGAATCCAGGTCCATGACTCCAGAGGAGCGATGCAAAAAGGGGTCGCAGCTCTCGTTAAGTGGCACCCGTCAGAACTCTAGCTCCAAGAACAACACGTTGGAGGCCCGCCAACGGCACGAGGAAAAAACGGCACCGAATATATCGCGCAGCTCCTCTAGCTCCAGTTACAGCGGCGGCGATTCCCATGAGCACCTCAATGCTAGCACAAGCTCGACTATAACAGCCTCGACCGCCCATCCTGGAAGTGTTTCCAGCAGTCAACGACGCGCGATGGCCGCAAAGCAGACGGAACAGGAGCACCGCATCCGTCGCTCGAGGTTGGTAAATCTATTCAACAACAAATTAAGAAAATGTATTTGTTTAAAAAACAGTAAGACTACTTTTTTTTTAAATTTCATGTTATTTATAATTAAATTGTCCAAAAATATTAGTATTTGCTTTACAAAGAAATGTATATGATTTACCTGAGTTTTTTTTTAAATTCTTAAACACATAAATTATTTTTTTCAGAAACGGTTTATTAAATTTTAAAGCGCATTATATGAGTAAAATACATATTTATTCTACAAAAATTGTTAAAGAGCTTGCTGATATAAACACAATCTGGTTTAAGTTAAAAGTTTTACAAAAATATTTACCCATCAACAAATATTTTAGCTATCATTGATTTTGTTGTTTTAAAATTACTGTAAGATGCTGTTTAAGACATGAAAAAGTAAGTTTTTAATTAAAAAACGTATGAAACTTTGCAGTTTAAAACCTACTTTAAGCTTTCCATTGGCCGAAAAAACGAGTTTTTGGTTCTTAAAAATTGATAAAAATCCGCAAATGTTTTTAAGAATCGGTTTTCTTATAGATCATTACAACTCACCGAGCGCTCTCCAAATCGAACTCAAAAATCAACCGTCAACGTGAGTGCTGTGGCCGCCCAGCAGCAACAGTCGTCAGGATCCTCATATCAGCAACCCCGTGCCTCAGGCGGTGGAGTGTTTCCACCCATTATTCGCGCTTCTGCAGTTGCAGCTAAGATGCATATGCATGTCAACCCGCCTGCGCCGCCGGTGAGAGTGCGACAAAACGAGGCGGACAAGGCGCGCTCCTTTGACTTTGACTACAACAACTACAATCGCACTGGAGGCGCAAAGGGTACAGGCCGAACGGCTCATAAAAGTGGCAGCGGAGGAGATAGCGGAAGCAACCAAAATCTGCGGGCTGAGTCCCGCTCTTTTGACGACGATTTTCGCGAAGCAGTGCCTAACAACAACAACGGCAGCAGTGGGAGCGGGTTGCGGTTTCTACAGCTTACCACCGATTCCGGACACGTGTCAATGGCCTCTTCGTCATCGTCCCACCTGCGGAAGTCCAGTTCACCCGTTAACGCGTCTGGCATGGAATCGTCGCGATCGCCCCAGTCATCGGGATCGTCGTCAACCAATCTCCACCAGCCATCGAGACAATCAGGTAGTCCTCAGAGTTACGGGACACGTCTGTGCGACCATGAGCTCACATACGAAATGCTACGAAAATCTCCGATCATGAACTTTCGTCGGGGAGACAGTAGTGACTACGAGCTGCCGCTAATGCTTCGGAACAGGGAAACCATCAACTCTGGGGGCAACAGCGAACTCAACTTTATGAGTAACGAAACGCGAATCTACGAACACCCGACAACCGTGCTGAAGCCGCAGCACTCGCTCCGCCAAAGTCCAGGGTCACGGGACGACCATACCCTAGAGGTTGCAGTCGGAGTGGGTGGTGACTATATATACAGGCAGCAGGCCACCCAACCGCGTAGCAGCAGGTACTAAAACGTCTTTACAGCTAAGTCATTTAGCAACATCCAAAGTAACAGCGAAACTACTTATTAACCTTTTCCTCGAACTAAACTGCACGCTGGCCGAAACCGAAGGCCACCATTTGAACCAAATTTTATAGCGGCTAAATTACTAACCCGACCCGAGAATGCACCTTCGCGTATGTGTGTTTAAGAGACTGCTTATCCATACTTTCTAATCAACGTACTAACCGATTTTATAAACTGTGCGGTGGTAGCAGCCTTACTTTTTAAATTTAATTTTTCACGGTTGGCGACACCGAAACAAAAATACACTGGCTAGCAAATGAGTAAAGGTATTACAAAAAAGAAAAAGTAAGCAGTCCCACCATACATTTACTACATCAGAGCTCCCATGTTTGGGTAAACTACCAAAACCAACAAAGTTTCTTGTGGCTGGACTTATGTGTCTCGTGTTGTCCTATAGGACAACCACGGCGACCACCAAAAGCTGCACCAAAACTCTGGATGCCTGCGACTATTGGCCTCGCTGCACAGCCTGCCAGGGGAAAAAGACTTTTGAAGCAATCATGAGGGACCAGTCCGAGGGCACCGCATCCTCTACCGATCTGGAGCACTGGCAGCCTTACGTCACTTCAGTCACTGTTAACAAAGACCCCGCTGGAATGTGCACAAAGCAGTCAGGTGTAGAAAAATCTAATCTGTCGTGGACCTTCTTGTGTAGCGGAATTGGCACCATTTGCAATCGCTTGGCGACAAAGGAAGGTGAAGAGGAAGTGACGGCAGAGGAGAAGGATATTGCGCCCAGGTGAGTTTCGCCTTGCAACTTTTGAAGTGACAGATTGGAACCAAACCCTCCTACTCTTGCTAATGGCTTCAACTGGCCAAACCATTACCGAGTGACAAGCTCTTGGCAGCGGCAGGCTCAGTACAGGAGGTCTAAGTACCATCAGACATGACAGATAACATTGAAAATGAATAGCGACAGCGGAATGAGATTGGATATTGTCAATAATGGATAATAGTCATCAATGTGATATTTTTCCGTTCTCAGATACAGCCAGGATGCGCAGGACCAAGACCAAGAGAAGGTCGTAAGAAACAAGTGCCACAGGAGGGGACGCAGTCGGTCTCTGCCAAGACAGATGCTGCGGATACATCAACTTGCGGGGTGAGACATTATTTTGTGAAATTATTTTTGGATTTTTCAATTAACGCTTATGGACGTTTGCAACAGAATATTGTCTGCTAAGGGCTATTACTGTTATTGTTTATTAAACTTAAAAAGGCCAATATTCAATTATCTTTCTGACGTAAACAGCTCATACGGGCGGTCCTCAGATGATCAGATGCCAGCTAGGTGGCTATTTAATTTGCAATCGTGATTCTGGCGGCCAAACTTGTCTTCCCCATTCGAAGAGCAGCCCAGGCAAAAGGACCATCCAATGTCTGGGCTTCCTATTTGTTCTGAAAAAAATAAACAGCCGGTGGCGCCACAGCCTCCCATGTCGAGCTGCAGAGTTCAGCGACCTGCTGCTCGACCATACTATAGGCACAATTTCAACGTCGTTCTAATTCGTAGCTTCCCGTACACGTCTCCCATCCTCCTTGCGCATTATCATCCTTTCACTTGGTCCATAAATAAGCAATGATGCTGACTGTGTGGAAGCATGCGTTCGTGCCGCCTGCAAGCAGCAATAGCTAAATAAAACCGGCGAGTATTGAGAGAAAAATTACTTTTGTTAAGAAAAGTCAGCAAATTAGTCTCTTTAAAAAACTGCCTAAATGCAAAATCAAAACAAAACCCAATACCCCAAAATAGTAATGTTGCATATTGAGGGAAAGGCACTGCTGCCAAGTTTGTAGCATACTTTAATTCCCAAGCATGCGCGTTGATCTATATTATTGCATAACCCAGACTAAATTAAAATGCAATTCTTAACTAATTGTTTTCAATTCACTTACAAATCTATTTAAGTTTTCATATATTAATGGTATATCTTGATAAAAAAAAAGTTGCCCTGCAACATATATTTAAAAATACCGCGCTTTACAGACGCGATCCACGACACGATCCGGGTGTGGATCCGTACTAACGCCAAGTTTTTGTGCCCCATTTTGGTATTTTTTCACGAGAACGCGGTATTTATTTGACGCACGCGCATGGTCACTCTGCGTATAACAATTAAAAAAACAACATCAGCACAGGCGAAGCATAAGCGCTGGGAAAGTTCGAAAAAATGCACCTATAAGTTACAGCGAAGGTGCGTGCGTCTTTCCACCCCGTTAGTGAACGCAGCTGTTTGGCGTTGTCCTTGTGTCCACATCTCAAGCTATGCAAACAAGATGAGTTTGCCGCGGTACAGTGTCAATTTAAGCTACTGAAAGCCGTGCAATTGTGAAAAACGGGCGTCTTGCCGGTCGCCAAACGCCATTCCCCAATCCACAAATCCCATACTCAGAACGTGGGCGCCCGCAAGTGTGTATCTGTGTGTATATGTAGTCATTTGTTCTCAGGAACGCTTGGGCAGAAGCCAAAATGTGTGCCAGCGCATAGGGAACAGAACAACGCAAATAGCGCATCTATATAAGAAGCAAAAGTGAAAATCAATAACACCCAACCAAAGCGAGCAAAGTTTATTACGCAGAAAGGCAAGAGCACATGAGCGAAAATGTCTACAAGGACAATAATTTTGCCCCAGGCTGCAGTGCAGCAGGAGTGCGACGCGGCAGCCGAAGCAGCCGAATGCGAGGGTTTCCTTGTCGGACTAGCAGGCGCCGAGGACAGCAGGATGACGGAAGGGACGGGGACCCAACTGGCTGGCCCAGACAGTGGGCGTGCTTCGGCCACCGAGTTCGAGGGTGTTACCGAAGAGCCCGCCATCGTGACGGTTCAATTGAGGGAGTCCCCGCCTCTCAGTGAGGGTGTGTACGCCAGTCGCGGCTCCCATACCACCTGGTATCTGCCCGTGGCGCACTCGCCGCCATCGGCCATGTCGGCCACTCCGCAGACATGCAATGGAGCAAGTTCAGTGGCGGTTGGCGTCGTCCAGGAAGAGGACGCTGCTGCTAATTCGTCAGAAAGCAACAGTGACGAGTAAGTTGGTTCTACCATCAAAACAAATTGACATATTTCCTCATTATCGAAAATAAAAAAATTTCAGTCCTTTGACTTTGTAGTTGTCAAGTCAAATTAAGATATACAGATATTACATGTATCAATTGATACGTATTTTTATATCCTATAAAAAAGAAGAAAGGAAGCAAGCTTCGGTAAGCCAAAGTTCATATACATACCCTTGCAGCTACTGCAAAAATTAAATATTCTTGAAAACATTAAAATTATGATTGACTTGCGTATAGGTTTAGAAACAATGAAGCTATGATGATTTGAGCTTTATGTTATAGTCGTCCGATTTTGAAGAAATTTAAACCGTAATTCTGAAATATTCAACCATTACTAAATGTCGAATAACTAAACAAAAAAATTTAAAAACAGCAAGGTTATAATTTTTTTCATTTATTTTTCTGATTGTTCCTATGGAGCTATATGCTATAGTCGTCCGATCCGGCCCGTTCCGACATATATACTATCTGCAATAGAAAGACAACTTTTGGGAAAGTTTCATGCAGATAGCTTTAAAACTGAGAGACTAGTTTGCGTAGGAACGGACGGACAGACGGACATGGCTAGGTCGCCTGTGATGCTCATCAAGAATATATATACTTTATAGGGTCGGAAACGTCTCCTTCACTGCGTTGCAAACTCCTGACTGAAATGCAAGAGTATAAAAAGGCATACAGTAGAGAAAAAAATCAATGATGATTTGAAATTTTTGGACAAGAAATCAAATAAATTCGGAGGACAAAAACTTTAATAACATTTCTGTCTTATTTCCAAGGAACTTTAATATATTTACAACTATAATAATATATATAAAGTTTGTGCGTTGAAATCGTCAATTATGTATTGCCTTGTCATTGGCATTTGGCTTTCAACTACTCTACCAATTTCGCGGCTCATTGACCAATTATTTTTTCAACTCCTGCTTCTTGAACGAGTTTCTGTTGACTTTTCCCTCTATTTTCCCCCGTCACCTTCGCGGTGTTTATCGAGTTAATCAGCCGTGTGTAATCTCTGCTCGACCTGTTGAGTCCGAGGTGTCAACTTTGGCTTGTTTAAAGATTTCCCTCACGTGCATTCCAGTGTTTACTTTATGTCCGCCCTGCTGGAATATTTTATTTTGGTTGCGTGCGGCAGAACAGCAACTCGACTGGCCAATTTTGGTACATATGTTATATAACAATCTGAGCCAGGCGCCTGTTTTTAGATATGTTTGCAAAAACTGACTCCTCACTATAGCACGGCATCAAGCTTTGCGTTGACTTTTGTGGTTTGTTTAATCAAAAGATTATAAAAGCGGAAACATGTGTGTGGCTCATATTTGTTTACATTAACCGCTTCTAAGTCAGTTATGACATGACTCCTACTACAGAACAGCAAAACGGGGCTCCGCCCAATATGTGACTCGCTCGTTACGTCACAAACTGAACAAAAACATTATCCCGTTAGCGTAAACGACATTCCAATCAGATTTTGCTTGCTGGTGTTCCTTTTATGGACGGACGCCTGGTACAACATATAAATCCTTCGTTTTGGTATAATAAGTCGTTGTCGTTTTGGTATCAGTCAAACTTATGTTTAAAGTATAACTTAATTTTTTTAAGAAAACGCTTAACTAAATAACAATTTAAAACGAAATATTGCAGCAAAATTTATTCGATAAGATCATTTGATAAGATCATAATCGCAGTAAAGCGATTCCGCTTTTCAAATTTCAAAAATTCGATTTTAGTCGCCCCAACTTATTTGAGCTATACTATTTAAGTGACCAATTACAATCTTAAGAGGGTGCTCTTAATTCTTTAAAGGAACGTAACTAGACTGATGCCGTCATTCTTACCCGCGAAATAAAAGCTATTTCAAATAATCAACAGCGGATAAATGTTATAGTGTTTTGTTGGACAGGCGGCTCACTTTTAATCATCAGCTTGTCGAAGTTTACTTTTTTTGTTGGGAATGGACTTGGTATCTGATCATGGAATGACCATTCACAATTTTCCAAGAAGTACCCAGTTTTCGTATACTGTTTTTGTAGCTCAGAAATTAGTCCAAATTCCATGGCTTAGCATGCCGGGTGTCATCAAATGGCGATTCATCTGTGATTATTATAATATAATATATATTATAATTTAACAGCTGGCCAACTTTTTTCATACATGCTCGAGTAAATTTCAGTTTGAAAAGGAGAAATAGCATTGCCACACCCAAGCTTATGGCTTAGATTAGCACATACATAAATATTAACACTCATTTTCACGGTGCACAGCCAAGTTTCACAATGAAGTGAAATGTTCAACGCTCGTAAAATATATTGACAGCGCCCGTCGGTCTGCAGAAAAAAGTCGTATTTTGGGTACGAAAGCATTAAAATAAAATAATGTTTAATTATGTTACATACATAAAACTCCCGGAGAAATAGAGGTCTGGGGATAGCTATAGCGCTTAGGCAGCCGCCACATCTGCTGACCAAGCGCTGCTTTGGATCTGAGTGCGCTAGATTTTTTTAATTTTCCTTTTTACTGACAGTGGCAGCCTGCATATCAAAAGAGAAAAGTTATGGAGCGAACTTCTCTTCTTGGACTAATAAGACATTAAGTTTCAAAATGCACTGCCACTGCAATGCCCAACTCGTAGTCTCGACGGGCCGAACAGCACAGCTCTTCTCGGTGGCAGTTGCGGAACTTGTCACGGGAGAAGAACATCTCTGACAGTTGATGGCGTAGCTGGTTGTTGGTTGGAAGTCAGCTGCTACATGAATAGAGCATGCAATAGCACTTAGTAAATGGTTTTACCTAGCTCCTTGACATTTTCAGGCCAAAGATGCATTTACAATGCGTTGGCTAAACTTTTGGAGCATTGTCGGAAATGAAACTCGATTAATGGGATTTTAATTAAAATTATTCACGGCTTGAGGGATGGACCGTAACTAGGAACATTTCCTTAGTTAATTAGTTACATTCGTGTCTATCATTAATCAGAAACATCGCTAGATTCCTGCTTTTCCTTAAATTACCCTACCTTTAGAATTGCTACAAGAAATTCGCAGG